ACACAACAGACTAGAGTTTGTATTACACAGCACCTCCTACACAATCCCAAAAGAAAACATTAAACAAGCGGTTAAAAATTAAACTCTTCAAGTAAAAGAAATAACCGCTACAGCCTCTCAGATTTAGAGATAATAATAATATGGATAACGGCGATACTTAACGGTTTAAGAAAAGGAATTCCACTTCACCCTTTAACAGCTTTGATAAAAACGACTAATCTTAGGAGTCCGGTTGATTAACTTAAGAAAAAAATGGACGTTTGAGCAGTTCAAGAAAGAATAAAAATTTGTTGGGCTATAAATTAACCGGGCCCCGAGGGCGAGCCTCGCAATCTGCATTAGCCGAGACGCACTTCTCTCCGGCGATTAAATGAAATTTCACGGCCGGTTGCCTACGGAAACTCACTGGACAAAGGTCTGGGATATTTAAATTGAATGCTTTTAATCCGGCCAACTCCCCCACTTTTTTCTTAAGATAGGATTTTGCTTTAGTACGCGGCGTCTTCGAATTCAAAGTTCTTTTTGAATACAATTTTCTTTCCTTCGATAAAATAGTGGCTCGTAGTTGTTACCTACTGCTTTGTAATAAGTGGAGGCGATACCAAACAGATGCACAGCAAAGTAAGTGGTCAGAATACTCATATCCTTCTTACATAATAAGCTCACTCCAGAGGAGATGACCCGTGTTATGTGTCAATAATGCTTCATACTGCAATCATTTTGCATTTTCAGTTTTAATTCCTTACAAACCGAAAGCGATAACTACACCTGTTTTTTAATCCCTTGTGTACCTATTATTATTATTTTACAACAAACTTTAATTAATCCTCTGACACGATAATCATAAAACAGTTTACCCAGTTCCATTACCTAAGTACGTTGCGGAGGATAAATTGAAGATACCCTTTTTATTTACATCTGAAAAGTTTCAAGATGATGCGATATTGATCTATAAATACATTTTTCCGATTTATTGAAAGAATGCACTCTATGTATCTCGGTCTACGTATCGCAATCGAAGGCACCGGTAGAGGTAGTCCCTTCCGCACTAATCGAGCAATTTCTCCCATGTTATTAAAGGAAAATGGGAATGTTCGCAGGCCGTTGCGTTCTCAGAACAGACTTTCTTATAGACGGTATTGAATTTTTAAACAAATTTTTCGGCCCGCCACCCAAGCCCAGAAATCCACTTTATGTTATAGGATTAGAACGTTATTACACCATTAAACCTTCATAAATAATTTTCCTCCATAGTTTTTACACTAGATTACATTTTCTTAATTTTTACGATCCAAAGCCCTGAATAAATGTTGAAAGGCAAGAAGACCTCATTCCGTTGGAAAACTTTTACTCACAATATGGTGGCATGGCTAAAAACTTTAATAAAATGCGTCCTATAATGAATATACCTGTCTATAAAGTATGAACATTAAGGAAGAGGCCATTTCTTGACTTTTTCTCAGTACAAATAAGTTTGATTTATATTGTTGGAATCAATTTAATGGTACTTAATATAATAAATAACATGTATGGACTCGTAAGCTATGAATAAGTCAAGTTTATATATATGTCACAGCCAACTGGTTAAACTAGCCATTCAATCAATCAGCCAGCCTAGCTGCGGACAAATAGAGAAAATGGTTTATTTGCAAGGGCGACTCGATTTCTGTGCAGTTCACAGTTCTGACCAAACTTAACTTACGAATCTAGTAGATACTCAGTTTTCATAACAATTTCTTCACCGTTCATCTTACAGCCTGAATGTAAAACTAAGCCTTGGTTGAATTGCTAATTCAACAATTTGACTGCGACATACACAAATATGGCATTTACCCGTACTTCGTTCACTAGAAATAGTAGTCACAACTTTTGTCTTTTTCTCTCTCTATTTTTTCAATTTTTTTAAATGTGTACCATTCGTTACGTTAGATAACACCCAACTTCTTAAAAAAAATGTATTGACCGAAGTTCGTACCATATTTTTAGCAAAAACGTACATACCTCACGTAATCCTATCTAAATTATTGCGGCCTGAATTATTTACGGTCACTATTACACGAAGGAGTTTGTATATAGCTTAAGCAAAAAAAACATTTAATTGGATTAAAAAGGACCACAAAGACAAAGCCTAGAAACATTAAAGACGTTTAAAAAATACGATACAACAAAAGATATTTCCCAGGGGTCACGTTAATGTTCCGGTGCCGGCGTGGGCCATTCGACCGAATCTCTAGAAATTAAGGCAGGGGAAAAAAGTCAATAAATCCAAGAAGCAAGCTGGAACAGATAACGAATGTCTCCGGTAAAGACGCGACGCCACGCAGCCCCGTTTCAGCCATACTCATGTGACACTAAGTCCTTATACGACCCGAAACAACCGATTTCGGATTTTTGTTCGCGTAAGCACCTAGTTTATTGAGATATGTCTTATACCACATGCTACAATTTAAATGACTTATCAGTTCATAGTCGTTTAAACCGTATTGAAGAACTTAGATATTATTTTATTTATTTATCAATTTAGTTCAGGTATCCAAAAAACATATAAACAAATACAACACTAAATAAACAATGTTAAAACTTAAAAATACTATAGATATATGTAGGTATATTAGACATTAATTAAAACTAGTGCATATGAAGTGGCGGCGTCGTGTTTCGCAGACCAGTAGTCATGGCATGTTCGTGTCATGTAGACGGTTACAAGACCGGCGATACACAACACCTTTCGGCTAGAACTCTTCCTTGAGGAATAGTTATTATATCTCCTTAGAGTACTCTACAAAACATAATAATTATCTTGTAGCCAAACCAGATACAATGTCCCATAAAAAGTCAATATAATACTAACTTATATAGTAGATATGTTACCAATGGACCTATACCTATTTATACCTAATTAGCGTAGATATTTTAATTCTAATTTAAATTTCGAATAAATATGTAATATATGTAAGGCAAACTAGAAAAATATTTTCTTTTAAATTACTGTTTTCGAATCATTGCTTGCGGAAATCGCATATCACTTGAAGGTGGTCGCCTCCCCCTCTAGATAAATGTTATAGTAAATATCCCTTTCGTGTATTTAAATGGACATTATTTTTCTATTGTAGCTTCATTAGTTGTTGCAAATTGTGCTAATCATTTAATAAGCCCTTCCTGCTGTTATTAAAACTTATTTTTATTTAAACTGTTCAGTTTTAAGACTTGTTATGATGTTTATAGCAAGTTACCTACTGTATAACTATATAAACTAAGATATTTAATTTTTAGAAAGTAAGATTTCCCAGGTAATTAAAAAAAAGAAACAGCAAAAAAGAAACAGCAATGAAGCCTATTTTTGATTATTTTTTATTGTGATGTTATAGTGTGTACCTAATTAAAATTATGTTAAGGTTTGTTTTTTATTGCTTGACCGCAATCGAGCATCCGTGTTACCTGATGGTAAGCAAATGACGCCACCCATGGAGAAGTTACAAGTGCGTTGCCTTCAAGGGATTGGGGCTTCGGATATTAAGGGATTGAGGATGGGGAAAAGGATCACTCTCAGGCGAAACACAACACTATGGTTGTTTCACTCGCCGGTTTTCTGCGATGGTATTACGGATTTATTCAAGATTCATGCCTTTCAATCTTGGTAATTCGAGACACAATAGTAAGACAATAGGTGTGCGAACGCCGACGTTCGCTTGGGGTTTGATGAATTAATCGAATACACCTATTATTATATTTACGTACTCGTATATCGTCTGTCTCTGAAAACGTGTTATCAAAAACACCAAGAACAAAATATAAGATTAAATTTAAAATTCTCTTTCAATTGCATTAAGTTGCCGTAATAAATGTTGAGAAAACTTGCATGAATATCATTTCTAAGCCTAATAAGAAGTTACCTTCTTTTAATTATAATTTTAAGGGGGAAAGTTGCAGCACACAGTCTGTCCGCATGCCGAACGCACCGCGCAATCTACTACTGGAAGTTGGTCAACTAATCCAAGTTTTCCTTTACTGGCTAATGAGACGAGTTTGATTCGAATTCCCGCCGCGCTGGGGAATAGCCACCCTCTTTGAATAGCTTCTAGTTCGCGACTACTACTTATGAACGAGCAAATAAGAATCTCATTTTTTATAAAAGTAAGGTGTTATATACTTTTAATACCAAGTTTTTCTTTTAAATCGATTTTGTTAAGGTATACCAATAGGTTAGAAATAATAATTAGATGTGAATAAAATGAGAAAAGCTCTACTAGTTCTCCCTCGAAGTATACAATCAACAATAAGTTAACAAAACACTTTCAATATCCTATCTTCAGCACTATTCATTTACTTTAACAACAAACATACAAAAACATATTTTATTTCCACTTAAAATGGGAGCAAATAAAAATACATAAAGATTTACTTAGATGAAACAGAGATTCTCGCCAAGCTTATTGGACTGCTCGTAGATAAACAAAGCGTCTGGCCTCCGTAATGGAAATTACATACCCCCGAGGTCGGAAATCAAATTGACAGAAGAGGTTAAACAAACGATGCGGTCAGGGAGCCGAGACCGTAGTCCGTCGAATATTAATCGCTTAGTAAATGCGCTTTTATTTGTTTTTCCCTTAGCGGCTTTATGCTGGTAGTGTGAATAAGTGACAATCTCAATTGAACCGAGAACAACTTAGTTACGAACTCTTTCTATTTCTATTTTATACTTTTTATGTGAAACTTTAACAGAATTCTATTTAGACTAGTCGGTACTAGCAGGTCTTCTAAGACGTTGTTATATTTCCCTGTATTTTAGTCAAAGAACGTCTTCTATAGCTAATTAGTATCTATTTTATGTACCTACTCTTGGGTTTAACCCACTTTTGTGAAACTTTATAAATTAGTAGGATTATAATGATAAACGAAGTATAAAATAATACATTTAAATAATTTATTTCAATACCACTGAGTACAATTACGCCCAATTTACAAAATGACAGTAAAAGTAATCGGCACCATCATTGCAATCAGTCGCTACCACTGTTGTAACTGCTCTCACGCGAAGAAGAATATGTGCTCGTATTCTCACTGTCGATGCACACTGGTACAAATACTTTTTCGATGACATTATCTTTAAGGAACTTCTTGCAATATGGAACCAGCTGAAAGAAGAATTAATTTAAACTTATTTACTAGATGCATACATACGTCTAGGTACGTATACAATTAATAATTTATTACGTCTAACTTTTTATAAGCTTAAATTAAACCAAATCGGTCCAGCTAATTTTGCGTGAAAGAAAAACAAACATATATCTATACATTCTCAAAAACTTTCACGTTTATAACATTGTTAGGATAATATTACGCAGGCGAACTAAATGCCTTATGCATTCTTTCCAGTCAACTTTTGGGTAATGTTGTGCAAGTATGGAAGGTGTGTAGCGGCACTATCACGTCGCTACATTACTTAGATACGATAGAGATAAGACATACATGTTAATTGTTGCACGTTTGTTAGGATAGCTAAATCTGAAAATCTCACGCATCTTCTTAGTATATAAGCACCAGCAATTAAAGTAATAAACAGACCTTAACCATCTACAGTCTCATTATTTACCTTGCCACGAAGTCTGGCAAATTGGTGACCCGACGAAGAACAATCAACATGACTCATTCACCCTGCAAATCAAGCAGCAGCCAACAAGAAGCCTTGGAGATATCAGCCGGAACCGCCATTTTATCCCGTATTCCGGAATTTTGGAGGGACCAACCCAGATTATGGTTTAAGCACTAGAAGCCATAGTAGCACCACAGATTTAGCTATCCTAACAAACGTGCAACAATTAACATGTATGTCTTATCTCTATCGTATCTAAGTAATGTAGCGACGTGATAGTGCCGCTACAGGTGCAATAAAGAAGCAATCTAGGAACAATAAACTTTGAATGCAAAATACTTATGCTTAAATAGTACTTATAAATATAAGCACATATTGTAATTTAGTTAATAAATAAACAAGCACACAGATACATATAATACATAGGTACATAGTAAGCATTATATGCAAACAATATGTATAATATTCTACGTAGTAGATACATAAAATTTATTATGATGGTAGTCTACCAACAGTCCACTCAAGATTCGGTCTTGCATGAATAATTGCCTATTATGAATATGATGAGAAAAGCGACGACTTTATTGATAATGAGGAAAGAACAAGGGACTAAAAACTTTCACACTTTTTGATGATGTTTTATGGCTGCTGCATTGATTCTCTTGATTTCGTGTCTTAGATGGCTCGTTTCCTCGTATTTAAGATTAACAGACCAATTATTCTTAGTTATGATCACGGGAAGCACATACGGTAGACCTGCAATGGGGATTTAAAAGTTTCAGGTTCGCCTCATAGGACACCCTTTTTTTGTGAACGGGAAAATCATCAAATGTCTTCTCCCACCCTGGGTGAGGTGGGAGGGAGTGTCAGAGTCTTACTGACTCCTTCTTCTGCTCTAGGCATAGGCTACGGTGCCTTGCTGCGCTTGTCTCGCAACCCCGACTGAACTCTCTTAAGACACCCGCAGTACTTAAGTAGAGTTGATAACTGTATGCTATTCTGGTGGACATCACATCGTGTATTTACACGGCAATTAGTATTATTGGGTAACAAAGACTAAATGTTATGTTTATATTTTACCTCTAACAGTGCCCAATGAACCATCGCTAATTACTCCAATGCTAGTATACGAAGTTCTTGCATCATCTTCGATACAACGTGGCAACCAAATAGCATTTAGGGTTCTAGCCATTTCTGACGCTTTGAAGATGCAGCCATAAGGGTTAGCCTCGGAGAACGCTACCATCTTATAACCAAAATATTATTAAATACATCGAATTAGTTAAAATGAGTATTCATTCATTTAAATATTTGTAGTAAAAGTAATAAATTTTGTATTTTGATAAAAATTGCTAAAGTGTAAGTAACCAAATAATTAAGATTGCCCAATTTGAGGTGGCTTATATTAGCCTCGATAGCCTACTTACTGAACACAGTCGATTCACTTAAGGTGCTGATAAACTTAAGCACTCAATTGTAATGAGTACCCCTTCGAATGTTGCAGAAAAAAACAGGAGCCGTTTAGGAAGCATTCTATGAAGTGTTCTGGCAAGCATTCTAGAGTAGAGACAGATAGTAAAGTTCCGTCAAGTCTGACATAGTCGACAAGAATATTCATGACGAGCTTCAACATGAGAGCTCACTAAAGTAGGTACTCATGGAAATGTTCCTAATAATATTGGGTAGGCTCCTTGTTCGTGGTAAATGAATATTCTGCAACAAGTGAATTCTCAAGTCGATCAGTAACATTATAAGTCTACATCGTTGTTAAAGACCAAAAATATCAAATGATAAACCTTCTCAATGAACTCTCTCTTCATCCATGACGCATTGAAGTTAACATGTTCAAGGCCCAGAGACTCCAACATGTCTGAGGACATACCATCCCATTCACACCACTTGTCCTCGGATATTTCATCACTCTTAACATATGGTACTCCGATTTCCGTATGAAACACTGTATCGTTAGCAGCCCAAATGTAGGCTTCGTTGAGGTCGCAACATTTCACCTTAAATACGTATCTATATGTAAAGAACTTATTCATATATCTATATATTGGTGATTACAGAGAAATAGATTACATGCCTACATAAGATCTCTTCAAAACAATTGATAGAATTTAAATCAACGTGTCATTAGGTAGTAAGTAATTTAAGTGCAAGCCAAAGCTAACACACACACTTTCTTAACTTACTTTTTTTTATGTAATAAGTCGGCACACGAGCAGACGGATTACCTGATGGTAAGCAATCAGCGCCGTCCATGGACACCCGCAACGGAGTTACGAGTGCGTTGTCGACCTTTTAGGGATTAGGGATTGGGGAAGGGTCCGGGGAGGTGAAGGATTGGGCCTCCGGTAACCTCACTCACACGGCGAAACAACGCTGTGGTTGTTTCACGCCGGTTTTCTGTGAGGCCGTGGTATCACTCCGGTCGAGCCGAATCATGGCTCTCTCACACTTAAAACTTACTTAGTTACTAATTGTAATAATTACTTACTTAGTCGATAACAAGGTGTCTAATTTTGAGAAATTTACTGCAATGCGATCACTTATTTGTTAGAATAGAAAAAAAACGCTTAAAATAAAGACGTTCTAAAACAACGCACATGACGAGTGCAAGAAAAATAAACAAGTCATAGGCGTAAATAAGGTTCCAACCTTTAAGTGGTCACTCAAAGTAATTTTTGCAATAGAACTTAGAGGCGTAGTGCTGAACAACATAACTTGCGGCAGCGTTTTTGCTACAATCATTAATATATCAAGAACTAGTAAACCATCGGTAATTATTATTGGCTTTCTAGGTTCTATTTTCTCTCCCGTGTCTTTATCCATGGCTTCATCTAGCTCTTTAACTGGTTGCGGTTTCCCTAAATTTGCAGCTATTTTTGTAATCAAATAGAAATTATCAAACTGTTCATTTGCTTTCTCTTTCTCCAAATCCGGATCCTCATCGAAGTCAAATTTGTTTGGATTTATAAAACTTGTCATAAAACAAAATATATCGGCATCTGCAAGACTAAAAATTTAAATAAATCGTTTCGTAGCGCAAATTATTCATAACAAGTTCATTATAATTGCCTCGATATCCTTACTTTGGTAAATCCGATGTTATCCTAATGCTATTGTAACATGGAAACGCACAAGCAATCAGTTCTTGTCCTAAATCGTTTGCAGCCTCAAATTCATTCGCATAAACTAATAATATCAAATCAACTAATTGACTTCTCCCAAAAACTACACCTGATAGCATTTTTGTTATTAGTAGTTGTGATGCCGGTACCAATGGATTTATCATCATAACTCTCAGAGGTTGACTAAACTTAGTCGTCTGAAAATTCATTTTTACTCGTATTTACAATTGTCATAAGTATAATATATGACATTTAACACAATGCGCTTGCACTATTATAAATTAATATATTCAAAATTCCTGAATTATGAGCAGGCAGCAACAATTTATTAAGTACGTTATTTTTGACATAGACAGACAAAGATGACAAAGAGTTCCGTCATCATAAGTTTGCATATTACAAAATCAAAACTATTAATATTCCAAACTTTCCGAACTAATATTATAAATGCGAAAGTAACTCTGTCTGTCTGTCTTTTCTTCACACCTAAACTACTGAACCTATTTGAGTGAAATTTGGTGCTGACATAGTTTGGAACTCAAGAAAGGACATAGGATAGTTTTTAAAAGAAAAATCTGCAGGAAGTCACTATTCCACGCGAACAAAGTCACAGGCAATAGCTAGTTACAAAAATAAAAAACAAAAACAACCTAACAAGTGTCTGCAAGGCCGCTTCAAGGTATTTGTAAAAATATAGTAATGGTTTCTGGATAACATAATCGAAAGTGATCAAAAACTCTCTGCACCACCATCATCATCAGCCTATAAGTGTCCTCTGCTGAGCAAAGGCCTCTTCTCATACGGAGAAGGTTAGAGCACCACGCTCGCTCAATACGGGTTGGCGATTTCAAACTTATAATTAGAAATTATATAAGTCCAGGTTTCCTCACTCTAAATAATCATAGAAAGTGATACCACGGCCTCACAGAAAACCGGCATGGAACAACCACAGTGTTGTGTTTCGCCGTGTGAGTGAGGTTACCGGAAACCCAATCCTTCCCCTTCCCCAATCTTCCCAGTTCCTAAATCTCCAAATCCCTAATCCCTGAAAGGTCGGTAACGTACTCGTAACTCCTCCGTTGTCCATGGGCGGCGCTGATTGCTTACCATCAGGTAATCCGCTTGCTCGTTTGCCGACCTATTACATAAAAAAAGTACATATAACTCGGAAAAAGTCATATTGGTACTTGCCACGTTTCGAACCCACACCTAATGAATGAGAAGCGGGCTCTTTAACCTCCGGGCCACCACGACCTGCACCATCATATTGATTCGTATTCATATTGGACACAATATTGAAATGTTGCCGATATCGGGTTGATATAATGTGAATATCGCTTTGTTTTCCTTTGTGAGAAATTGATGTAGGACGTAGTTCTATGTTAGGTGTAAAGTAAAAAGCTTGACTTTGATTTTAAGGCATAAAATAAAAAACTGTGTATTTTATATGGAACTGTGTGTCTCATCAGAAAATATCTGTATAAACTCTGACATACTCCGTTAAGCATACTAAACTAAACGAAGTTTAACTTCGTTATAGCGACATCTATGTGATAAAATAGGTACCGCAAAGTCGTGTAGCAGGTAGTTGTTAGCACAAATGTGAAACTGCCCCATATTGAGTCAACATGAACAATTTTTATGCAGGCAGTTAAGGTATGATTTCAACGAGTTTAATCACCAGTTTTATACAGATTTATCGTGAAATGACTTTACTTCTATTTTATTTTGAAGTATTTTTTTTATCTATGACCCATTATGGCAATATGGCTTTTTATCCAGGCCATAAACTCCAAAAAAAAAAAAAAAAAAAAAAATATGGCTTTTTATCACTTTGACTTTGACAGATAGAATGACAGTTAATGTCAAGTGACATAACATTGACGCGTTTACTTTTTGTTGTATTTTGCTCGAAATGTAGGACGTTTTAATGATAAATTGTGTCTAAATAAAAATTATGGCTTCCTCTAAAGAGAGAGAGGTTGATGTTTCACCTGCTACCTCAACAACTTCAGTGAAATCGCAGTTCTTTGATAGATCTCCGTCCGTTTCATCATCAAGGGAAGATAAATGGCCGGAACTTTTGTTATCCAGGCCGGACAAGTCCTATTACTACAGTTCTAAGAGTAAGTACTAATATTTTAACTTAGTAGGGAAGCAGCGTTATGGAAACTTATTACAATATTTGCGAAACCGTTTAAATTGAATGTAATTTGTGTATGTACTAGATTACATGTTTGTATATTGTTGCGGATATCACGTCGCGTGACCGCTACATTGATAAACGTAACAGACGGTTTAATTCGACATACAAACAAAGATAGCGCTTCTTTTACACTACTGAACTGTTTTTAAACCATGACCATCAGTTGATTAATTTGAAATTTTATCATTACGTCATAATCACTAACCAGTACTGTATTATTAATATTTTTTTATTTATTTTACCGTCACCTGGTTTTATATTAGTAATACATTATGTATGCAAATTGTATAAGGTACTTATTTTTGTAGTAGCTGTAAGATTTATCTAAATACAAAAAATATTGATTTACAACCTGTTGCTATTTAAAAGAAGTAATAAATAACAGTAGTGCTGTTCAATGTGTGTTTATAATGCCGTTACAACTTAAAGACTAAAACAAATAAAAGACAAGGTAAATAGGTAGTCATTTGACAAACTAAGAAAATACTACAAAATACACTTTTATTGTAAAAAGCCAAATAAATCTCATTCAGCCTGGTTAGCGGGCAAGCACAAGAAGGTAGTTAAAAAGTTGTGTTTTTTATCAGTAGGAGTCTGACACTCTCTTCCACCTCACCATAAGCTTAAGAAGTGACTTGTGATAATCTTATTTCAATAAAAAAAAACATTTATACTGATATGATCCAATATGATGACTAATGAGTATCAAACAACTTGTACATGTCTGTGCAAATACTAATTATAAAAATCAACATCTAGAAACAAAATAGGCCTTTTGATTTTATTGCTTTGTTATTTATATTGCCATATTATTTAGTTCCATGTTTTTGTCATATAGGTATATATATAGGCAGACAAAAATTGTGTCATTGGCATTGATCCTCCCGTATGATTATAATCATAAATTGTTATAAAATTAGTTTAAAGGTACTAAAACATACTATATTTTACATTTCTAATATGAGTATGGCTTGTCTTAGCTAACAAAAAGTATTGAGTAAGATTCACTAAGTTCCTTAAACAACAACTTCATTATTTCTTTACTCAACTAAAAAGCAAAAAGATTGGTAGCAATTATTCATAGATAATCATACCACAATATTTACCAGCGAATACAATGAAACAATGAAAAATTATCTGCTTATGGCAACTTACTTAAAAAAAAAACTCTTTATTATTATATTATACCTAAAGAATCAAAAATAAATTAATTAATTAGAGGACTAAATCAAGAATCCAAGGGAAAATGGTGAATATTATTAATTTATTTTCACTAGAGTGCTAAAATAAATGTATATTATATATAAAAATGAATTGCATATGTTTAACCGTGAAAATGTGTTGGTAAGCACATAACTCCACAAAGCCTTAACCAATTTTGCTAATTCTTTTTTATTGTGTTTGTTATTGTCAGGGGAAAGTTTTTACAAAAGAAAATTTTAGAAAATAGAAGGGTGAGTTGGCTATTAGGGACCCATTCTTTGTGAGCAAGATAGTTGAAGACCCATAAAAAGCAGTGTCGAGCCACTAGTTATACCATAAAGGTAATTAATAACATGAGGTCTGGCTGGCAACCAAATAATGAATATTAATAAAACAACTATACACAATCTTAGATCCAGATTTGAAACTCCTTCTGCAAGGTTCTTTTATCTCACACACATCACTACAGTATACCATGATAGTCAGCTATCGGTTTCGCTCTCTGGAGATGGTAAGGAATTTCAGGATTAAGGATAGGAGACCTTAGTGCTGCGAGACACAATGCAACAGCTTCTAGTCAGTTGTCTGAGAAGCCGTGGTTTCACGCCAGTAGGGCCATGACTCTCCCCCAATTTTAAAAATCATTTTCTATGCTCCTTCATCTACTAATTATGATAGTTTAGTGAAAACTGTAGTCAATTATTAAAATTAACAATCACTTAATTTAAAAACGATCACATTAATTTTTCATTAATCGTTTTCATTATTTTTATCGTCAAAAAGATTAATTTAGAAAAATGAATGTTATGGGATCAAAATCTGTAAATTATTTAGGAATTAAATAAATATTCAGAGATTTTCTAATCCAAAAAAACGAAACATTTATTCTCTTACAAAACGAATATCAAATTTTTATTGGTTTTTGTTGTCAATATAATTGGATCTAATCCGTTTTAACATAACATAAAATAAATAAATAAGGAACCTACTAAAAAAAAACATTACGTAAGGGGAAATAACAGTTGTACTTCAAGTATTCCTTGTGCAAAAAAGCAAAGTACTTATAATTTTCGGAAACAGCAATTTTTTCTCTTGCAACTACCTAAACTGTCACACTGTTCCTCAGTCGGCCGATAGATGGCAACACGCGCACCAAGTATTGATTTTCCCATTGTTGTAGGTGGTAAGTAGCGCTTGCCGGGAAATCGATATTTGTTCTGGACGTCGGAACTGGAAAACCCGTTTCGCTAAGAGGTTTTCGGGGATATATCTCGTGTCTATCGTAATTTTTTTAAAGAAAATTATAAAATACGAACTTACGCTTTGTTGTTTTGCGAATTAACAAGTGAATTGATAAACAATTACTGGTTTGACCTTCATAATTGCGCATCGTGTAAAATGATTATAAACGGGTGATCAAAATTTACGTGACGCTGTTGATAGTTTCGCTTGATAGTTTATTTGCTGCTTTATTATGCGTTCGCTTGCCGCGGTTCATGGGGTGGATCCCTTGCCCGAATTAGGCATTCCATCGGCCATTCAACATCAGGGTGACGGCAACCCGGACGGTGATATGGCCGGCGCACAGGACACAATCTACCTGTGCAATTTCCGCGTATCCGTTGACGGAGAGTGGCTCTGTCTAAAAGAACTACACGATATGGAAATGCAGGATTCCTTCCATCGCCCATCTGCTCAAGGCACAATTAAATCGCCTGACGATCCGATGAATACATTGATGGGTAAATTACACACTAATAATGCTCTTAGTGTCAGTAGTAATGACAATAAAAAAAAATTATTGTCATCTGTTGTAGCACGGGATCCTGTTGTGATTGAACGCAGCAATCTTGTGAACATCTCGAAACTAATTGTGAAGGAGCTGATCGAACAATCTCTCCGCTATGGTAGGATGCTTGACAGTGATCACTTGCCCTTGCACCACTTCTTCATTGTGCTCGAGCACGTTATGCGTCATGGACTCAAACCCAAGAAGGTAATTATTGTTAAGTTTGTCATACTTACTTGTTTGTGTAATGAACTAAAACTAATTTCGTTTTGAATGTGAAACGAGTCATACTGTTCACAAAACAATTTGCATCAATATCTTATTATGATTACGTTGTAAATTCCTTAATACGTTTATTAACACCCAAAGTTGTTTTAGGGATTACTTGGACCCAAAAAAGAGCTATGGGACATCTTGCAAATGGTTGAGAAATATTCTCCGGAAGCCGCTGACATTACGGCTAGCGTCAGAGACCTCCCCACTGTTAAGTAAGTTATTTTTATATTTAATTATACCTTACTGATAAATACAATAGTATTTACTGCGGCATGTATAAAAGAGCCTTACAAAGAAAAACTCCATCGTTAAATGTGTTCATTGTTGAATTGCATCGTAACCAAATCGATAGTTTGATCACTCTTTTTTCAAATTGGATTAAAAGTATTTTCCAGTTTCAAACTAAGTATGTAACTATACCATAAACAAATTATTGATTATTATCAGTGTTCATATATCTGAGCACTAAGATTTGAATTTTCCTATTCTCGAATTTACTAGTTCATCAGAACCGTTATTGATTGTGAAACTTGTTTTATAGTAACTTTCAGACACATTAAAAACATGCTTTGAATTAAAATTATATTGAATTTTTCGTAGGACCGCAATGGGTCGTGCTAGAGCTTGGTTGAGGTTGGCTTTGATGCAAAAACGCCTGGCCGACTATCTTCGTATTCTCTTGGAACACCGTGAAGATACGTTGGAAGAATACTTTGAGCCCCATGCTCTGATGCTTAACGAAGAAGCTGTCATCATTACTGGCCTCCTAGTAGGCCTTAACGTTGTCGATTGCAATTTGTGTGTGAAGGTAATTTGTCAGCATAATATAGTATGTTCCTATTGCTACATTCATTGTATCAACATCATGTCTGTATTAAACTCATGCCTTTTACTTAGGCAAAACGTAACAAATGCCACCTACGATCCCTCTGAAGCCTTTATTACATTTATTTGTTTGATCATACAAGCACACCGGATAATGGCACTCCGATCCTGGCCTTTTTGGAGAATATCTCCAATGATATCAGTGTGATATTATTAATGCATTTTATATTCTCATAAAGCGATCACTACCGGCTTACATAATTTCTATTAATAACTCATTTCCTACTTTCATTCAATCCACACAGGAGGAAGATCTAGACAGCCAACAAGGCGTAATAGATTTCTCGCTTTATTTACGCGGCAGTAATTCGTCCAATGACCTAGCCGGCAATGGTAACGGTGATTCAGAACCGAAACAACGCCATATCAACACAATGCTAGACCAGAAGAATTATATCGAGGAGCTAAACAGACATCTCAAGTGAGTTTCGAATTCATTGTTTTACTTTCTCACGCTAATCTAGTCTGCATAATTACTTCTTTACCGGATAATTTTCTATTTAAAATTGTTTTGTAAGTGTCTCATTACTGAATTACATCGTTAATCAACCAACTTTGGCTTGGTTAGGCTAAATTATATTTACTTCGTAATTATGCCTTGAAAAGATAATTATATTCAATGTTATATTGAAGGTTTTATCGTCCGTTTACATTTTTACAGCCTCTGTATAACTACTTAGGACACTTCGTCTCATGGGAAACCATTTTGATACAAATTCGTCATCGTTCTTTTGAATAAGTAACTTCCCAACTGTTGGCAAGCTTTGTATATAAATAAATAATATTGTTGAAGGTGAATAAAACACGACAAGGTCATGAGCGAACTGTATAGCTAACCCAGTTCATAGACCCGTAACGTTTTGAATTGATAAATAACCTTTCTAACTAGTTATTAGTGAAGTGGGCACTCTACTACTGTTTATCCATTTACCTAGTTGGGGATTTGGTCCTTTTTCAATACATCAATTCAAGTAAAATGCTAAATCAAAACTGGTTACAATTACATACGTCTTTCTAAATTCGAATCTAACGATGGCCTGTTTAATCCCAATCGATGTTACAATCATATGTAAGGATGTAATACCGAAAACCTTTTCTTTTAGTGCGACAGTAGCAAACCTCCAAGCTAAGGTTGAGAGTTTGACAACAACGAACGCATTAATGAAGGAAGACTTGGCAATATCCAAAAACACGATGATTCAATTAGTTGAGGAAAACAATCAACTAAAACATGCTCTTGGTGAGTAGCTGAACAATCGACAAAACATTTACATTAGTGTAAACAATTCTCTTTGGATACTAACATTACGAATGTTGTACGAATTTTACTCGTAGGTTAATTTCTTGTCTCTTTAGTGATCGAATACGTAAACTTTTTTTGCCAAATTCACAAAATTTCTCTGGCCACTATGTTCTTGAATTCAACCTAAATTCTTAGTTAAATCGAAAAAAGGATGGAGTGATGAAAACCTCAGATATTTTATTAATACTGCTTTTAAATGTGTACCAAAACTTTTTATTTAAGTAATAATTTCTATAAATGTTAACGGGTCACCCGACTAGCATTGTAATCAAAGAATTAGAATAACTAAAAGAACACGGTCCTCTCTTGGCCCACAGTTTGACAATATAGAAAATTACTCTTTATCGATCATTAAACCATCCCACTTATTAGCTACCAAAAAACCGTCACTGATAATAACGGTAGCGAGCGGAAGGAAATCACCAGCGAAAACACCACGCGAATAACAATAATAGAGGATCCAGTAGATAACGACACCTTGCAACTAATGAGTCAGTCTCCATTGTATCGCTTAGTAGACATTAGTACTCCGGCCGGACCTGTCGTCCACACAGCACTTACTGTTAGTTATAATAAAACCACCGTGTACAACAGTTATGCGATATACCTCCGCTTTAATGGGCAACTCAACGTCAAAAACACAAACGAAATCAAATTTTTGGATAAAATCCTGTGAGTTATTTATGTACCAGTGTAAATATGTCACGGTGCAGTCTGTGTTTATTTGTATATTTTCTAAACACGTGTGCATTTTTTGTGCAGGGCAAGACATAACCAAAGATACTAGGATGAAAGTGACGGAATTGCAGTCTGATGAAGAGGTAAGGCTAATGAAACATTTTCTGTTTATAACAAAATAATTAACGCAATTAATTTACTGTTTACCTTTTAAATTAAATACCTTTTCCAAGTCTAGTGTTTAAATTAAACCACAACATTACTGAAAATTTCAAATGTAAAATATTTATTTATATTTTTAATTTACCTGTCGTCTATAAGTTTATTTAATATTTTAACTGTAGAAGCTAAAATTCTTTGCGAAATATTACTTACTTATCTGCTGATTAATAGCGATTCACGTAGTGTTGGTGATGTCAGCGATTATTTCTCTAACGATAAGACAATGTAATACACTTTCTTATTTTGCAAAACATAAAGTAAAAGCAAAGAAATAGTAGTCTAATTAATAGTATAGACTCCTTAGTAGATTCTCTACAAAATGTTTTCTTTTTTCGGTACCAAAAATAGTGTTACCGCTTCGCGGTCGAAACAAAATGGAAATAGATATTAAACGTGCGAAACGCGCTATTTTAATAATAGAGGCAATAAATTAACACGTTGGTCTCTTAAGCGTCTAAGCACATGTGACTTTAATTTCCAGGAGAAACGCAGCGTCAAGAGCGTAGCTTCTGATAAATCCAAAAATGATAGTGAGGCCAGCAAAAATTTGGAAGAAGAAAGGAAGAAGTATTTGGAACTGCAAAGAGAACTGGATTTACAGGTATAGTATATACAGGCGTAGTTTGTTCATCTTTAAAATTATCTCAAACTACCAAGTCAAGGCCGAAACACAATGCCAGTGGCCGCAACCAAGTCACAATAACTTTATTCCATTATGCAATTACCTGTCTGTCTAATAGCTACCAAAATCCATTACATCACATAATGGCCATAGCGGAAGCTATTCTAAGAAGAAATTCTTATAAAGCATTATAATATTTAATTTTCAGATTTCACTTAAAGCAGAAATGGAGGTGGCAATGAAATTGCTAGAGAAAGATATACACGATAAACAAGACACGATTATATCGTTGAGAAGACAACTCGACGACATAAAACTAATCAACCTAGAGATGTACAAAAAATTACAGGTGAGTCATTTACTCGTAGTCAACTAATACGCATGTTGGAACCTATTAGGATTTTGTACCCTTAACTCTATCACTGGTGGACTCGCGCTTGTTGCGTAAATCGTTGCTAACGTTTCTTCATTTGTACTTCATGGTCTGTTGATGATCAATAGATAACTGTGACACTCTTACTTTTAACTTGTAAATTAATCCGGTTTTATGCAGTGTTAACAAAGGTTGTTAGCGTTAGGTACCTCGTTGTGTGTACCGTGCAAATGTTATAACAAAGACGATGCCCCGCGAAGGTCGCTCGTCAGGCGTGGGTGCCCATCTAACACTGCTTGATTCCCGCCCATGCATTCTCATTATCCCACCAAACTGATTAATGAATAACATTCCTCTTTGTCTCTAAAACATTGTACTGTATATTGTTACTTATTTCGCTTATGACTTTGTAAATAATGTATTTATTTATGTTTAGTTTCTCTTTAGTTATTTATTTGTCTCGTTCCTTTGTTTTGTTTTGGGGTTCACTGACCTCTAATTTGCTTCTATATATATTATACGACGTATACTAATACCATACTGTATTCACAATGCCGCGGTTGTCGCACGGAAGGAATGCGAGATGGAACTGACGCAGAAGGGCGAAATGGTGTCGAGGCTCCAGGGGAAAGCCGAACAAATTGGCAAAATACTTCACAACCTTGAGAAATATAACCACTTCTTAGGATCCGATAATGATTTAGTTAAAGCTCTCAGGTCTCCCACAACTAACGAAAATAATTTAGGAGAAAAGTTAGAAAAGTTGAAAGCTCAAAGTAACGCGCAAAAGGGTACAAAGTCTAAGGATGAAGGCCCGCCTCATAAAAAACTGAATCTCCAGGAAATACCACCGTTCCGTAAAAATACTCCGAGAGACAAAACTGTCAATCAAATCGCGGAGTAGTCTCCGATGTTAATACAATAATTCTTAGTGTAAAATATAAATGTTTTATTCACAATTCGGGTGGTATTTCCTGTTCTCTAGAAATTGTTAATTACCTACTACTAACACATTCTAATGTTATGGTTATGGTGATGTTGAGGATAATATAATGGTTATTAAATTATGAAAATTATATGCAATTAAATAGTGTTTTAACATTCATACATTTACCACTGTATTAGCCTCAGAATAAATTATCTCTATGAACTAACAACAGCATCTATCTTGTACTAACCTGCTTAGACTAACAAAAATATTCTTACTTCTGCTCAAATGAGTTGTAATTTTATTCAGCTAAACTGTATTGGCCTTGTTTTAGGAATGTGAAAGTTCCTTGAAACATAAAACTGAGCTAATAGCCAAATTGGAAGCAAAGACTGAATCAATGGGCAGCACCATACATCAACTCGATGAGAAGTAGGTTTTACTAATTTTTACTTTGACATCGCATCAGGCGGGTTCCGACCTGCGATCATCCGCAAGGATCGAAAGAGTGCCTGGATAATATTACGCTGTTGAATGTAAACTAAGCGCTTGACATATCAGTATATCAGTACTCGACCGCACTTAGGTGTGAGCAATGCACAGCTTGCGTGTGTCAACTAGCGGCAACTCTTTCCATTCGCTCGATATTGGCAAACCCTCACAATGAATTAGTGAATGCAAAAATCAGTATTTTGATATTATATTACAAATGATTCGATGATGACGATCATTGTTAAACTTAATGCTACTGTTGCTTTTGCTTACTTGCTGTGATTCTTATAAATATGATAAAAGTGTAACGTTATGTTAATTTAAACCAAGTTTGTGTTAGGTTTTATCCATGATTTAAAACTATTAATTTATTGAATGGGACTCTACAGAATTATAATATTACTTTAATTATTAGGTATATTGTTAAGTATGACTATGTTAAATTGATATTTGTTAATTTATTTCGATTAAATACAGATTAAGGTTTCATTTTATATATTTACTTATGTAACATTAACTAATAAAAGTACCTGTATTAGTAGATTAGTGAGAGCGTGAGAATTTGGTAGTGCTATTGAAGAGATTGGTATTTTGTATACTTTTCGAATAATTATTATCAAGGTCACATTGTATAGATTTTGACAACTATGAAAGGGTATTTGATCTCATTTGATTTGAGTAGCTACTTGTGCTTGGAGACTTGAATTTCTATAATTGTATACAATAATGTGCTCGTTATTATCTAGCAGCGATGTTAAAACCATAATTTAGATAATTATTTCCTTTTAATAGTTTTGTAATTACGAGGCGGTAGATGTGTAATAAGTAGCCTTATTTATAATAAAGCATATTCAGTCGCATTTTGTATTTTATTGAACTTGAAATCCAAGGAGTTTGCTTGTTTTAATTTTGTGTTTATTGTGTAGGTTTGCCATTATCAGTATCATCCTTATCACCTGTTTGCATGCTATGTGTAACTAAACAATACCTTCTGTGATACATTTTAAAGTAACAAGTGTTTGTATAGCCCTTGAAATAAAAAAGGAATATTATTCGAATCATAAAAATTATTGTGACACTCTTATTTCGAAGCAATAAATTTTTACCAAAATTTATTTTTGTTTGCGTAGCATATGAGTTGTCTTTTTATTTCTACTTATCAATTTAAAGATTAAACCAGTAAATTGTCACATTGTCTGACTCATCGAGTAAAGTACTTGAGACAATCCCAATAGACTTAAGATAAAGCAGTGATAAGTAGTTGGAGCCTTGACCTAAAATAGGATGAATGCCTGATCTCCCACGATAGGCACGGATTGAATGCAAAGAAATTTGCAACGAATGTATTGGCACCCAAGATCCTAAATGCAGACTAATTTTTTTGCACTTTCTTAATGCCCATATTGGCATTGATATCACTGCACTTTAATTTTACTCCCCCAATCACTAATCCTTTAATTTAAAAGAGGGAGATATAAGCTCGATTCTTTTTACTTTAACACAACCCTGGATGTGCCTCTTTCGTGTTCTCATAAAAGCAAATAGAAATAGAATTCAAGTAACTTTAGAAGTTGATAGCACCATCCACATAGAATTTTCTGAACTTCTTGTCCCTATCTCTTAATTGTTTAACAATTTTAAACACAGTCTTAAATCCCTGTAATATTTCCAGCATGTTATAAAACACTTCAATGAGTCTTTAATTCATGGTTTTTGTTCCCACTCCACTTCAGTACATACTTACACTGCTTTCTGCTGTGTAAGTATGTGCCTTCAAGACCTATAATAGTATATGTCTTAAAATACCTTTTCAAATCAATCAGGGATTTTACACCATAATAGATATATATAAACCACTGTCAATCTGCCAATACCAGCTAAAGGCTGTCAATGACACAGATTCACAAACACTTAACAAAATGAACTTCTTTTAAAGTAATGTACACACTGAATAGGTTGCAAGAAGATAAGTTAGCTAGGAAGAATTTAGAAGACAGTGCTCGCTCGCTGGGACAGAAGGCAGCCGCTGCGGAAACCAGAGCCGTGGCTGCAGAAGGTGACCTCAGGATAGAACGGGAATGGAGGGTATCTTTACAAGTAAGTATTATTTTATTCTATAATTAGGATAATAGTCGTTAAAACATCTCTTCAGTATATCGCCATTAGCAGATTACATTTACTCTACTAGAAAAAAGGATTCCCCTTTTTAGGGGTTTCCTTAATCCCTTTGGTATATGGTTAGGTGTTCACAGTACAGGATCTCCTAAGTCCAACTTTTATGTAGATAAGCCCTAACAACTAAGAACATGATTTACTTCATTTAGTTAAGTGTGTAATGAGTAGTTTTCACCAACCTAACATATAATATAAATTGTAGCATAGACCACTTTTCTACGCTAATATTAATACTTTTTTTAGTCAAATATTCAGTAACGTCAGTCAGTCATTGAGAAATACGTAACTATAAAATAAAACTAGTAAAGTATATAAGAATATTTATGAAATTGCGCATCTTTGAATAATATACAATATAGCTATGTACGTTCCAACACCATAGCAAGATATGATTCATGAATCCATTATCATAAAATATTGCGTGACGTTATCTGCCGTGCAGTACCTACTTATTATAAACCATGTAATCCCATTGTACATTATAAAATAATATATTCGTCCACTTAAACTGAATAGAATACATTTTCCTTGTATTAGCTCTGGTCAAATTATTACAAGTGCAATTAACTTACTTGTATTAGAGTCTTGGGTTCTTGTTTTATGGAATAGATATATGACAAACTTCTGTGGCTTGTTGGGGCATAATGATGATGAACCAGTTAAATATTATTAGACATTTTTGTTTGTTTAATTTTTAGTAGTACCTAGTATAGTATTCCAAATTGTACCCGGTTTATCAATAAGCTCCTGCTGCTAATCATAACATAACTGATAAAATTTTATTGTTATGTAAACTTCTGTCTATCCTGTAAAAAAATAAACAGGTTTAAAGTATTATTTGCTATATAAATACAGTTTATTAATTATTGTTATTAAATGTTTATAGGAATCAATGATGCGGGATCGAGATAAGATATCGATGTTGACACAAGAAGTGGAGTCTCTGAAATCAATAGGACAGGTAAACAACATATACAGGGTGTAAGGGACAGCCTTCCGCAAACTGATAGGGTGGATTCAGTATATCGTCTTAGGTTGACCGGTACATGAAATTATTTCAGGAACGTTATGGGAATCCAATTAAACCGATTTGTTTCATTACCTTACACGCAATGTATCGCTACCACCGCAAACGCACGCAGCGAACGGCAGCGCTTTTAGTATTATTACTTTACACTATGGGCAGCGTAAGGGCAAGGTAATAATATCTACAAGTATTTCAACTTCATAGAAACGGCCGAAACGCGAACTATACCTACGCGCCCGGTGTCGGGACGCGCTCGGGACGCAGACAGACGCGGCTGTACCGCAGTGACGAACGGACGGTGTGTTGTCTTTTATTTAGAAATCAGCTCGAGTACATTATTAATATGACGAATAGGAAATATTGTGCTGTTATTATGTTTGGTTGCATGAATTCGTCAATAACGCATCCAGACATAAGTTTTTTTTAAATTACCTGGAAACTCTGAAAGGTAAGACTATAAAATAATTTTACTTACTAGTAGCCTAGGTAGGTACATAATGTGTGTCTTTATGGATCATTATTTCCAGTTCCCTCACGAAAACAGATGTTTGAATTTATAAATAATATGAATAAAGTTATTGAGACGAGTGAAATAGGTAGTTATAGGCGGTTCTGGTTTTGAATGAATCATGATACGTTAGGTACCTACCTACTTACGCTTGTGTTAAAACGGTTCATGTATGTTTTGTTAGTTTGTATAATTCAAAGTAGAGAGTGTGGTATTTTATTATTAATAATATTTGTTTATTATCTGCGTTTATGAATAATACTAGAAAATATTTAATAACAACAATAAAACAGCTAGACTCATGTAATATTTTGATGTTTGAGGGTTGTGATTTTAGAACATTCGTAGTCAGATGTTCAGTTCGGCATTAGTGGCCAAAGAAATTTTGTTTGTTTATTTTTAAAGCACTTTATTTGTTTATATAAAAAAGGATATTTACAATCACAAAACTAAATGGAAACAGAAAGTAGACAAAGGTAATTAAAATACTGGAGACGAGCAGCCCTAACGCATGTTTACGTACCGCGCGGCTGTAGGTATTTATTTCTTTCAAGCGGCCGAGTTACAATACTGTATGATATTTATACTGTGGTAAGGGTAAGGTCGCGGTTACCTTTCGGACAAACGGTCGCGCTCGCGCCACGTTTTAATAACAATAAATTATTATTTACAAGATAGCCGCATTACTTACAAAAGACAATTTAATAATCGCGCTCGCGCCACGTTTAATAACAATAAATTATTATTTAAAAGATAGCCGCATTACTAACAAAAGAAAATCTAACAATCATAACATGGTAACTGATAAATGATAAAAAAAGAAAAATGCGTAGGTACCTTAGAATCGCTCCGGTTTCCGGCTCTGGAAAGCATTTGTGATGCGGTCTCGCATTTCGTACTCACTTGCACACGCACTCACAAACACTTTTTCTTTTACGTAACCCCACAAAAATGGGTCCAAATGGGTTAGGTCTGGGGATCGTGCTGGCCACGGTTGCGGTCCAAACCTACCTAAACTACGTTTAAATAGGAAAGCACTGGTAAGTGGTAGCGTCTCGTTACGTTAGCGAACCAATTCCAAAATCCACGTAGGTATTGGTCTTCCGGCGCCTTTTTGTCTGGGAACAATGGGCTGGTTTTCTAGCAAGCGTTGATAGTCACCAGTAATTATCCTGGAGTCTGATGGATGCCGACGGTGAGGATACCTACACTACTACAACACATTATCATCTCCCCATAATCACGCGCGCTAAACATACGTAACGTACCTAGGTAGTAATTTCGCACAGTTTCTACAACAAAACTTCACTACACTTCACACACTACATAACTAATAAAACTTAACAACACTACTTATAACAAAACTTTTAAGACGAATGCGCGAGCGATCCGTACCGCGTACACGCTCGCGGTACACAACAGTAACATCGCAGCAAGGCACAATGGCGACTGCATGTGATGAGACACACACAAACATAAATCTGTTGTTGCCAATTACACGAAAATTAGGTACAAAATTTCGGGGTAAAAAATAAAAAATTATGCATGGTCGTAATTTATCATTCTGTTATTTTTTGTAGAGAAATTAATTGATTAAATCAATTTAATTCTAATTTCATTGTTTAGTTAATTTAGAATAATTAAAGTGCAGTGTGATAGAAAACTGTGCTTCCATTCCAGGGAGATTGTGTTTAATTTCTGGCTCGACTATCAATTCATGGCTATTGTGAAGCCATGTAAATCTGTAAGTAGTTTAAAAACTAGCCAGTAATCGCTTAAAAAGAACAATCAATTAATAAATTAGGTAGTATTTGTAAATGCTTTAAAATTAAAACTAGACTAATCTTTATTTATTTTTTATTCAATTTATGTGCGCGACAAGATTTTCATTAATTGATTAATGAAAATCTCATCAATGTGATTATGAATGCAAAGGAGTTCTCAAGTTTTAGATAAATTTCGATAGTTCTAACATTTTCGTTTACAAAGGTAGAAAGAGAGAAAGGTAGAAGAGGTAACAAAAGTTAAAAGTTGGCAACACTGGTTCAATCGACAGAAAGGGACGCAGCTATTCTGTACGTTGGACGGGATCGTAGGTATACCTACGGCCTACGGCGCGGCGATCGGCGCGGTGGGGCGCCGAGCCGCTGCGCCGTGACCGCGGTGCGGTGAGTTCAAACGACTCGCGCTAGGTAGAAATTGAACAGCTGATTTCATGCGTAGTTCTTTAGAGAATTCACACAACCATTACGTATTTTTTTGTTTTAGCTGTGTTATTTACATTAATGTTATTCTTCATACATAGAATGTAATTATACATTGAAATAGAGGTGTAGGAACTGAAAAAACGAAAAAAAAATTGAAAATTTTCCTGAAAGAATTTTCACTGGAATATGATTCAGAATAAGGAGCTGAATGCACCCTGTTAATTTGTGGAGGGCTGTCCCTTACACCCTGTATACATATTTCGATTATGATTCAACTCTAGCAATAACAATTTGATCATTTTTATATACATAATTTAAGAATATAAAGAGTGATCTTAAAACAGTAAAATACTTACATAACGTGACATTGTTCGAGTACCAATAAAATAAACAATATCATACACAACGCCTTATAAAGACTATGTGGCCCTGCGGTTGGTTGCTATTGTTTTAAGCGTAATCCTCCAACAACTTAGAGTGTGTGGTTGGTTGTTTGTAAGTATATTATATTTTTTAAGTGCCAATAACTTATATGAATATTATTTTTTATCTGACACATTTCAAAGTTGTAGATAAAGAATTCTAAGAAGCTTTTTCTTGACAACTTCATTCATGACACTAATATTCGAAGGGGGAATGATAAACAAATTTAAAACCCTCTTTTTTTAAATAAAGAAACACCTATAAATGTTTGGTTTTCATTATTTGTCGCTTATCAATCACTTCATTGCCATTACAGAAATATCTCACACTGCAAGAAGAACAACATCTATTAAAAACTCAATACGTAGAGGCACAGAAGACTCTAGAAGAAGTTGGGGCGACACTGAGCGAGAACAAATTGCAACTAGCCGAGTTGTTAGAAAAGGAGGCTCAAGCACAAAATGTTGAGGAGCCTCCAACATGGACACATGATAAAGACGCCACAGCCTGTACTGCGTGTGCTAAGGAATTCTCAATTGCTAGGCGAAAAGTAAGTTGTTGCATTCACTAAATACACAAACTATCTTTACCCAATTTAGTCAAGGCTGAAGGGATTCTGTTTTTTGGGGGAAAGGAGGCTAGCCTTCAACTCAGAAACATGACATGACATAATACGTCGACACAGACATGGCGCCATCTGGTGGATAAAAAGAGTAGCCCGATTTTGCTTATCTTCTAGATGGCACCAGTAACTTTCCAATAGGGAATTAGCTGTCACACCATTAACTTTATTTTTTTTACAGCTACAGTCATAAGCTAATGTGTGTTCAGTAATTGGCCACATAGACTGGCGCTAGGTACCTGATTTGCAAAAAAGCTTAAACGATAGCCCCCATTAAATCTGATAAATTAGACATTTTATTGTCTAGTAACACAAAGATACTACTGAGTGTAATGGCATTCCATTCAATTCAATTCCTTAAAACTAAATTATGCTATGCTAAGTTCATAGCTGATTTAGTTTAAACATATAATTAACTTTTATTCGTCTTTCTTTTATTCTTTATTCTTTTAGACATAAACAAAATTCGCTAGGCAATGTACATACGAGTCCAAACTACCATTTATTTAGTGGTTGCGGACAACTGGAGGTGGAACTCAATGGCGTGACTTTGGACAAGCCTAAAGTCAATAATATTGATGCTTAATTTAGTTTACTTTTTATAATTGATACTTATGGATTTTCCTTTTAATTTTACAGCACCACTGCCGTCGGTGTGGCCATATATTCTGCGCATCTTGCAGCGACAAAACCGTCGCGTTAGCTGGCAACACCAAACCTGTGAGAGTATGCGACGCTTGTTACGCTGAAGTAAGACTAACGTAGCTAACACAATTGTAGAGTAGTTTAATATAATTATTATATGAATTAATCAAATTGACCAACACACATTGATAAAACCTTAAATGATCTGCCTAAATTTGATTTCGTACGTGAAATTTACTTCTTAAATTAGAATTCATGTTTACCTAATATGCAATCGAAGAGTTCAGATTTTATGCTAGAAACTGACGAAATAAATGGAATTTAATCTGCTTATGTTTAAAAGTGGAATCTTTAGCACATGTATGTACATTATTCGCACGGAAAAGGTTTAATATGCGAAACAGAAAGATACACATTTTTTTTAAATGGCATTTAATTTTAAATAGCGTAAGTACCTAATTGCTCTTGAATAAAATGAAATTGGTCAATTTGAAAGCGTCTTTAGCAGATGTATATTGTTCATTATTATTATTGTAATAATATTTACGATACGTGGGGAAGTGAACCGTAAAAGTTTTTATGATTGTTTGTTGACCACAGCGAGTTTTTAAGACTGATGTTAAAACTTCAATACGTGAATCGTTGTCGTTACGTCAAGTGGGTTGGATACAACATTAAATATATATGTCCACTACCAATACCTCTCTGAAAAAGTCTTGAAAATATTATTTAATTTCGGCAATTAATCTTTCTTGGTTTCCTTCCAAGATCCCCAGTTACAATCTATATTTTAAACTTGTCCTTTAATCCTTTCAACTTAATAACTACTGTTTTTAATGTTAAAATACGAGTATGTATCACAAATGTATTTTAAATGTGCGATATTGAATGTTGTATCGATTCACGAAAAGTGTTCCCTTTTCAAATTATTTGAATTTTAAAGTGTTCATTACTAGTATCATGTTAAACATTTATATGTACATGCAAAGACTTCCTACGCGGTTGTCTCAAAACCACAATGCAACAAATAATGAGTCAAATTCGTAATTAACGCCCTAAAATAAATAATAATAATAACGTAATTGTATAAAAGTACTCTAATTCGTTACAAAACCAGCTCGATTTAATAATTAAGGCTTTCTGTGTGTTGTAGACCTACTAATAATAAAAAGAATTTGGTTTCGCTAAACCCATTTTAACTGCATTGCCATAACGCTTTGATCTCAAGTGGGTGAAATGGCATTATTGGATGAAATCTAAAATGTTTATGTGTTAAATAGAACAAATTTTGCGAATAATTTATGTAATATGGGTATGGATATATAGGAGTATTGATATTATTATGAGATAGTATATAAATTAATTATTGTTTTATATAGCTTTGTTGTACCTGGTTTTAGTAATGACGATGGTATCTAACAAGCGACTCTGAACGTTTGACAATCCCAATAAGCTGATTGTCTTCTTTTTTTATTGGATTACAATTTGAATAATGTCAAAATATTATTTTTAAATTCCAAAATAAATTGTTGTTGCTGGCCGTTAAAGAAATATTCAGTCATTTATCAACGATCTCTTTGCTTTCGATTCAATAATATAATGAGATTTATAAGACAAACGTGTATAGAAATATTATTATGTTATTTGAAGACTCTTAAGCAAGACTTTTATTTGTTTATAGTACAAAACATTATTATTTACAACTATTTACTACACATACATACGTAATTTTGTCTTAAACGCTTGTATTATATTATTTGTTTTACTTTTATATGAAATATGTGACGTCATTGATATAAAAAAGTTAAAACTAAAATGTTAAAAATGGAATAAAAATAATAACATAGAGCCGAATGGTAGAACCAAGTACAAGCCATTGGTCTATTACTATATAATATTATTACCTATTTTAATTCAATATGACTTTACCTTTAAAGTTCCTCCAATATTAAATTCTAATTGGGTAGTTTCTTTAGTCAAAAAATATAATAATATAAAAACTTTAAAATAACTTCAACTTATTCATTAATTTTACGATATACCAAACCTGTACCTACTTGTATTTTTTAGATATTGAATTATCGATGCAAATAAATAAGTATGCTATTTGACGAAAAATTATGTGTAATATATTATGCTATTTCATACTAAATTCATAAACTCGCGTCTAACATTTTGGAAACAGTTCTTAATTTGAACTAGTTTGAAACTATCCTATTGTTAATTTTAATCGGATATCGTCCTTTCTGATACAATGAAATTTAATATCATGAAAAGCTTCAAACAAAAAACAAGAAATGTCAATAATATGAAATGTATCTAAATAAAATAAAATGTAGCAGCTTTTTTTCAATTACCAGCCTGCAAGTGGTGGCCAATAGCTTGTATGTAATTAATGAATTTATAATATAATTTTAGAGATCGTTTTGCCAAAATTTATTGTTGTTAGATAATATTATTATATATTATGTGTGGTGCTTAAGTTATAATTGTGTATATTATTATATAAATGTTAGTGAAAGACACATTGAATGTTGTACATAGTCCACTGTTTGTATAATAGTTATGAATACATAATCTGGACATAAAGATAACAGAATTTAATAAGAATTTTTGTTTTATTTCACTTAAATCATAAGTACAAAATATTTGTTTCTATTATACCTATTTACTGCAAGTTCTAATCACGCCTAACTACGTCAGTAACAAAACTAATAATAATAATTTATAACAATGGTAACACTTTATTTAAATATCATTAATTATCTGAAAACAACAGTATCGGTAAAATAAGACATCATCAGAAAAACACAGGATTCTAGCTTCATGAAGCCGTAATACGTATAAAAAGTATTGATAATAGTGTACAAATATTCCTCCGCATTTTAATTAAATGTATGGCAACATTAAACCTTTTCTTAAATAAATAATTGTAAGTAAAAAGTCTAGGATGTCAATATTATTTTTATATTTAAATTTATTATTTATACCGTCTTCAACATTTAATTTGTTAAATATACCGTCTCGTCTGTCACATAATCCAATATGTGATCCATAGCCTCAGGATTTTCTTCGGGCACCTAAAATGTGTTAATAATTTTAAAATGGCATGGTAAACAAATTTTCCACAAAATTAAGATAATTCATAAAAATATTCGGAAATGTATGATAATTCAGAAACAATATCCGGATATAAATTGAATAATAACTTGGCAATAACAGCATTTGTAAGGATACTCCGTAGAATATAACTTTATTTAGTAGTGTCTCTTAAAATTGTTTTATTTCATTTTATATAACGAATTGTATTAATAGAAATAAGAAACGTTATTTTGCATACCCAGTGACCAGCTCCGAAGACCCACCAAAAACTCAACCTCTTCATTTCTTTGTAATACCCGTTTCTTGTTCCACGTATTCGCTTTCTTTTGGCCTTCGCAAAGTCTGCAGCTCCGTGCCATTCTAACTTATGAACCCAATTGGAAGCACCTGGAATTTATCAAATTTATTTATATAATTTATAGTTGAAAAATATATTCATAAATAGTCGTACATCTTGCAATTTGTTCAATTTCAGACTGCACGGTAGGCGCAGTGGCCCGCACGGAACAACACTTTGTGTGATCCACAAATTGTTGTTTCGGGTCTAGGTGTGTTGTGTATGTGAATTTGTATGTTTGTACCCACGACACAGGATAAAATCCTAGTGTAGGGCAACGTATTTTTAAAGTAAAAAATAAATAAAAATAATGTTTTTAAGTAACGCTTCGCTTTAATTTTAATTTTGATCGCGACCGAAAAGTTTACTTAACACATTCAGTGCCCCCGACGCGTATGTGCGTTTCCTCGCACGCACAAACCTACGCGTCGGGGGCACTGAATGTGTTAATAGGTAAAAAACATTCGTTAAAAACATTTTGGAACCTTATAAGATCTTTTCCAATACCTACGCGGTTTTTTTTTACTATTTTATTCTCCTGTAAACTAGTCATTTTTGATGTAGAACTAATTGCATTAGGAGAAAAATACTTTTTTCTATGTGATATGGTAGTATTCGCACCGGTTTTGTGTGAGGGAGAAGTATTATCTCGGTCTCGGTCGACCTCGGTCGTGCCGACCCATTCGTGCCGAAGCATGGCTCTATCACACTTGGATATACAGAATAAGTACTTAAATAAAAATAAGCTTACCGCCCAACGGTGTGACGACGTCCAGGTTTCCATTATAGATCGCTATCTTTAATTTCGTTTTGTCCAACAAGGCCTCTACTGTTGTAAAATAAAAAAATAACAGATTGAAATATCATAGTTATCTAGGTATTAGACATATCAAATGGAGCGCTGAAACCAGAAACAATAGGAAAGGAAAAATGGAGTATCTAATTAAAAAATATACATACACCTGTTAGGTTTATAAAAAAAAACCTTTAATCCTTTTTTAGGTTAATTAGTGAATTATATTCAATATGCCAGCGCTCATCTAGACTATGGGCAGAGGTAAACTTACAGAAAGAAACTGATGGCACAAGAAAGCTTTTCTTCAAACTGTCATAAGCTCCCATTGATAAATATTGCCATTTTATTGTTTGGTTCACCATAGATAAACTTGGCTTTACGTATCGGTTCATCGTGTTTTGTAACTCGTCTAATGCAGGATATGGGCTAGGTGCATACACATTGTTAAAGTTAATTTCTCCCTGTTTATTTAAAGTACTAAATAGAACGTCATCCAAAACGTCTGCCTGTGCATAATCCCCTATTTCTAGAGCACGAACGAGTTGCTTGGCTACCTTTGAAGAGGACAAATATAAGTTTCGATCTATCCCACCCTGAAATAAAGTTTAAAATATTTAAAGGTATAAGTACCATATTATTTAGGTTTATTGATTTGTCTAGATACTTACCGACATATGTAAAAATTCCGGTTGAACCAATATACTTTCTTTAGGGTCTACCCAACCACCACCAATACCAATCCCTTTAAAGTTTATTTTCAAACTCTTTTTCTCGATTGCCTGTAAAATTGAATTACTCTTTTTAGATAAGTAAGTAGGTACCTACCTAAATACTTACTTATTTCATATTTTTACGATATGATAACAGGATACAAGCAAATATAACAACTACAACTAAATTCCGGTCTCCAAAATCAAACCACAGAGTAGGTACATTATATATACTGAAGTCGAACTACTTAAACTTTTATGTTTAGGTAACGTACCTATGAGGTAAGTACTTATATATCTTTTGTAAACTCACCTACCACACAAGACGCTTTTGAAATTTTAATGCATACATACCGTGTGTAAGTAATACGCTAGTCTAGGACATATTTTCCCGCCATAACTTTGACTGAACAAATATGTTGGTGTGCGACGGAATTCCTTGTGCCTTCTGAAGAACATTTTAATAGCTTTTGCCAAATCCATCGCTGTAAATAAGGACAAACGTTGTAGGCGTGAATTTTTATCAAATATTTTATGGGTTTTTGCGTTTGAGTCATTAACATACCCATATCTCTATCCGTTCTCGCGTACAGTGAACTGTTTGTGACGTAACTAAATCCAGTACCAACAGGATGGTCTATAAACAGCACATTTCTTTCTTTTACCTAGAATATTTAAACAATTCATTATTACAACCAAACATTTTATGAATTGAGGAAAAATTTCCATCGTAGGTACCTATGTAGGTACTTATTTTTGAAACCATTACTTAATTGACTTTTCCCGCGCTGAGCGTGCTCAAGGGAAGAGGAAATGTCGGTCTCTTATTGATTAAAAACCACCCCGTTCCTTCTCCTACTCCGACCCGTGCACCTTTGTTAATATGTAGGTACTTATACATCTTTGTAAATGCCCTATCGAAATCTGATATGATACGCAATAGGGCCTTACTTATACAAAGTATTTTTCATAGGTACCTAAGTAGGTATATCATAACAGATAAACTATGATCAGATCAAAGGAATTGCTTATTTAAGCTCAGCGCTCAAATCCTAAGCATAATACATACGTACATACGTACCTATTGCTTATACCTAAGTACGTTTTTCGAACATCACTTTTACTTAAATGTAACGGTTTAACATCAGCCAGTAATCATATGCCAAATAAATACATGTTGCCAAGGAAAGTTTAGGACAGCAACATAAAAAATAAAAGTTTTTAAACAATAATAATTAAGATACCTAGGTACTAATACTTACAAGTAGTAGTATATCACAAACAATAGAAAACACATTGTCCGACATAGGTACTCGTATCACGGGTTAATGGAGCGACAGAATTGATTAATGTTTTCTTTCAAACGCCTATACCATCCATTTATAGGTAGTATGTTCAAGCTTTTTAAATTTGTAAGTATATAATCCGGTTCTTAATCGCAATTGAGGTCGCCAAACAATTAGTTGAAACTGTATCTTATAAACAAATCTTAATCAATTAGTATCACGAGACACCTAATTAAGCACTCCGCAAAACGTCATATCTGTACAGCTATTTTAAAGACTCACGAAAATTGTGGGTTCGATAGAAAACGAAAGGTCAATATGACGGTTAATTTTTAAATCTATTGGTGTCAATAGTTTTGCAAATAAAAAAAATAGTTGATTCCGTCACATACACACCCAAGTATGATTGCGAGGCTGCAAATCCATGTGGAAGGGACCCATTTCAGCGAAATTTCCTACACCACTCGCAGCAAACCCCGGTCCTCCTTGTATCCAAATTATGAGAGGTTTGTGATGTGCATTTACTCTCGTGCCGTTTGCAAAGAAAAACCAATAAAACATATGTGCTCCGGGACGAACTTGCACGTAACCGTGGACATTGTGCCATTGTTTATTATTTTTTAAAGCTTTAGTGTAAGGGTTTTCTGAAACAGAAAAAGTTACTAGACAGTTTGTTTACACGTTGTGGTTTACCTAATGGATTTTTCCATTATCAGTGCCAGGCGCCAAATTCTCGGGGCTTTCCTGGATGGCTCATTTGAACCTTATCGGAGCAACAAATATGTTGGTTGAATAGGTAATATGGATTTATATGAAGTTGTCTTATAGCACAACATCACTGTCTTTATTTACTTCCCTCCAACGAAAATTAGTAATTCGTTTCTTGTCAAAAGATTTAACAACTTTTTCATACTAATTTGAATTTTGAATTGGAACTGCAGTTTTCCTAATTTATTCCTACGACTTTAATGAAACTTAAAAATATAGTTACGAATACCTACTTAGATAATTTAATGCAACGATTACGTTTTAGATTAAAATCACATACCTTCATCCAGTGTATCTGCCATAACACAAATTGTTGTTGCAATCCATATCAATAATACAAATAAATTCATTTTTGTATGATATTTCATAAAACTACACCCACTTTTATCATCCACATGCGCGCTTTAGTGTCACTTGTAAACGATTAACTCGTTTTAAACGCATGCCATGTGGTGATATCATAGTACCTCTGCTCCTCTAATTAATTAATGAGACAAATCAACAAAAAATAGCTAGATATATAATATACATAAGCTGGAGTATATCCGTAGTTTCAGAATTTGTCACGCGCTTCTCATTAGAGAATTAGGGACGTAGGTGAACTATGTTCTACGAACTATTTTGCGCGATTATTTTATTATAACTGAAGCCACGACTAGACTATGAGCAAATATATAGGTAAAGGTTGTTGCTTGGTATTTTCATTGACTTCTATCTCCCCTCTGAAATTCCACAACATGATATTAACAATGGAAGGTCAGACTAGTAAGCTCTCAGCAGTCACCACAAAATAATGGAGCCAAATGAAATGCTATTTTTATTGTACCTTAATGTAAGTATATACCTATTGGGTACATACTTATATAGTATATACCTATATAATTGCATAAAATTTAGCTTTTTATGAAAATACTTAGAATGTTTGAAATATTGGGGTTCATTAAAATTTTAAGCAATAGTCATACCTACTTACTTCATAGGTACATATTTTACGGCTTGCTTTTATCAACTTACGTACCTACTTATTCCATCGAGGATTCTTCGAAAACGTTTGTCTTTTAATGAGAAGACTTCCAATAAATATACGTATTAAACAATAAGTACATTAAATAATAATATAATACATTAAATAATTAATGTAGGTAAGTAAGTACATATATCTAATGGAAATTTGAACCCGATCTTATTTTTATTAGGTAGGTATACAAACAATAAATAAAGCATCGTATCCTGTTGGCAAATTATTTATTTGAATAACAAATCAAGGAATGATCCGAAAATACTTGTTGACCTGTTTGATTGCTCTTGAGATTTCTTTGGATATCTGTTCGTATGTGCATAATTGTCGGGGAACCGAAATGCAGAATTAGGTTTTCTTAGCTGTGACCCTTCTGTAGGTCGTACCGGAGGAAATCCTACAACGTGGCCGAGAGCACCACCGATAAGACCGAGTTGATAAGCTGCTTGAGGATGATCGATTGTATCCTCCTTCACCGGTTTAACATAGTCTGTAATAAAATACAACACATCCATTAGCTAATATCCTATTTTCATTTTTCTATTCTGTAATTTTTTAGAATACGATAGTTTCCAACTAGTCAAATTTATTACTTTTTTCCATGTCAAAAACGATACTTTTATATGAAACTTGTATGAAAAACTGAGTTATGGCGTTATATTATTTTGCGTCAAATAGCTTGGTACTTATTTCTTAATAATTAGCTAGAAAATATCTAAAAACTTAGTCGATCGGTCGATCGATGAATAAAAGTATACTTAGTTATTCTTCAATATTTCATTGTATTGAAACGTCGAATTAATTTATTTTTGACCTAGGAAACTACTCAATTATGTAGATACAACAATTACAAAATTATTGAAATAAATAATTATTTAGGAACAGTGTGGCACTGACGGAACTTCCACCAAATGCATGCAATCAGATATTACTATTTAAAAAACAGGCCTCCTGGACCTGAACTCTTGCAATATTATTAAAGTTTCTTAATTGGAATATATGTTGCGTGACTAGGCAACTTAACTAAAATAAATCAACCTTGAACCTTACCTCCTGGATAGTAAGGTGGCTTGTATCCATTTGGCCCATAATAATTGCCTTCAAAGTTGTACGGAGGTCGTGTGGGCCTTGGAGGTCGATGTGGCCTAGATGGCGGTCTGTTGGCTCCTTGGTGGTATGTTTTAATGTAGTCGTTATTTATGAAGTAACGATCCTCTTTATTCGATTTTCTTCTTTGGCCAGTTGGAGTCACTATTCGTGAAAATAGTAAGATACACAAAATTTAAACAAAATGGTTAGGCTCATCATAAACCGTATACCTAAATATAAAAAACAGCTCTTCTATATACCTATCTATGTCACAAACCATTTTTAATGTTTGAGCAATTAGAGATAGAGAGAGAATGACAGTAGGACAACTTTATGTTATCGATCTCAAACATCATCTGATTTACTTAAAATTTAATTGAAAATGCGCAAATTTTGGCTTTGTACTTACGAGAGCTTAGGTCTGTTTCGTCGTAATCTTCTATTTCCCCGCAATCATCAGGGTCGTCTTCTTGTGGTTGTTCTTGCAAATCCTCAAGTGGGTCCATATGGGGTGGTCTGCCTGGCCTAAATAGGTAATGTATCACCCCAAAGGTTCGAGGTTTCTCATCCCAAGTGACGTGACGTCGGTGAGGGGCAATCTTGTTCGTAGGGCACAAAGATGGATTAACTGTTACCGCGTCCAGCTCAACCATGACCGATAGTATCTACAAAAACATTGAAAATCTAGGTATTAAAAGACGCAAAAGGATACTCGACACAGAAAACCACTGATTTTATAATAACAACGTACCGATATAAAAATGAATAAATATTTTGCTGCTACAGCCATTTTTTTTCTAAATTATATTAAATATTTTTGATTATAATAATTTAGTCTAAATTCTAAACTAATAAGTACTTTTCGCTATAGTGTCTGCCTTGTATCTGAACGTAACGCTAACAGTTCTGCTACTACAACTTGGAGCTCCCACGCAAAAGTGAAATGACTCCTTTGAGCTTAGGCAATGACCGATCCGTTTATAGATTTTTTTCACAATTCTGTTCCAAAAAATACTAAAATGAATGTTCTGAATATATTTTGAAACAATAATATAATATTTATTGTTATCTATTGTACACAAGAAGACTTCTAGGACATGGATACATAAACAAGCGAATTGGCCGGGGTCAGTTAGAGTCACCTACCTATATAGCTAATACCTTGAGATCTAGATCGTATCGTTTCAGACTTAGTATGTTTTGCAGTTTACCTTGGCTCATTTGTTAAGCATCAATGAACAGGTAAGTATTCAAATGTATAAGTGTTATGTATGTACAGAAAGCCTATTCGTACTGATATATTGCATAGGTAATTAGGTGCATATGTACCACGTACAATAGTTTCTGGAGCGTAGCGCAGAACGTTAGCAGACCATGTCATATTACCCCTAGTTGATTTAAAATAGTAATTAGCGCAGGTACAGAATGTACGCAAATTATCTTCATCTACGATATTCTGTAGTGCCGTTGCTCTTCAAGATAGAAAACCAAATTTTCTTAGTCCTTCATCGTCTCGTCAGTCTAAAAGTCCTCACTACTAAGCAAAGGCCTCTTAATACACGGACAAGGTTTTAAACATTAATCACCACGCTTGCTCATTTTGAAAAGATTTCAATCTTATATTAGACATGATAGGTCCAGCTTTCCTCACGATCGAGCACGATGTAATAGCAGCGGTAATATCCCCTTTTGAAGAGTGGCTTGAGAGACTTTATGGCGTCTTCACCTTCCGCCTGACCAGGTAATTACCGGGCACGGCAGTATCGATAGGTTCCTGTTTCGATTTCGGCGGAAGGAAAAACATGGCCGCTCGTCACTTGAGGACCACTCAGAGGACACGGTGGAGCATACCGTGGCGTTAATCGGTATGGCCTGAGCTGAGCAACGACGTATCATCCGGGAAGTGATCGGCGGCGGTGACTTCTCGTGCCCGGCCTAAGTGGAGATTATAGTGTGGCAAGCTATTGCGCTTGCTCCACAACGCACGGCCGAGGCCTAACCTCACCCTGGGCGAGAGAAGTAATTTGATGATTTTACCCTCATAAAAAAAATGATTTCCTCCCGATGTTTTCCTTTACCGTACCCATACAGTGGTGTCTAAATTAACTTCTTAAAAAGTACACGTAACTCGGAAAAAATCACATTGGTAGATACTTACCAGGTTTTGAAACCGCACCCACATGCATGAGTAAGTGCTTATTTATCTCAAGTATAGTAAATTTGGCTTATTTCTTCCTTGCTAAGAAATAAAAACTTTTTATTTAATACAAATTTTCCTTAGTTAACATTTTTAGCATTGCATGAAAACTAATTTTCATCATCAAGTACCTAACTATACGCGTCGTTAAACTTAACCTATTTAATATAACTTTTTCATAATAACAACTCCTTACTGGTGCAACAGTCATCAATTAAGTAAGACGTGATTCCCAAAACTGGTTTGTAAAGTAGTGATCCTCATTTCGTAAATCCGTAGGTTGATAATGTTTTGTTGAATTTCTTCACATCATTCAAGGTCGTAATGCCAATTTAGTCCTTTACGTTGTCTCTTATTTACTTATAAGGATTCTGTTTAGTAGGCTAGTTATAAGATACAGTTAAGTAATTTACGAGCGATTTAAATATACAATAAATCAGAAATTGACCTTGGCATTTCCAATATTTTCTATTGAACATTTTCTAGTCAGACACAATGGCGAGAATTATACTTACTTACACAGTGGCCTTTACTGACTCATGGGTATTGAGTACTTATCCAATTTCGACTTCTAGTACTTCGGTAACATGTTCCAGTTATCTTTCCCCAACGGCTGTGTGATTAGCACCGAGGTGTTTCAGTAGGTACGAGGTCTGAGGTTTTATGGATTACCCGATGGTACTATGACATTAAAATAAACATACAATTTTACATTGTAACATCCAGTCCCGGAAAAACCGTTTGTCGATCACACAAAGTGTTGTTCCGTGCATGGATCGAACCTGCTAACCGTTGTACGGCAGCCGGTTGCCTAGCGCCGCTCCAAGCGGGCAATCAATTTTATAAATATGTATATATATTAGATTAGTGTAATTATGTTTTGTAAAAATGGCTTATTCCAAGTCAAAATCACTCTCACTTTAGTGAAGAGTGCTATAGCGACAAAGCGCCCTGGTTTCATACATTTGACAATACGCTACACGACACTTAAGCTTGTATGTTGTGTTTATATAAAGCAAGATTTTCATAGCGGCGTAAGATAAAATCAAGCTATATAAATCCTATCCTCGTAAAATAGGTACTTGAAATATTTCTCATAAATACTACTATTAATTAAGGATTTTTTTTAAATTCGCCAAGTGCTACATGACACAACAAAAAGCTGTGATTAAGGCACAGCGTAGCATAATAGTAGGCTTGGAATGAGTCATGGCCCTGGCCAAAGCTTTCACCATTAAGTTGAAAATATTCTAGAATATTGACGAATTTTTGTACTTTTATAGCTGTCGAGATTTTTAATTATGGTATCACGTTACGTTGGCTGTATGAGTAATGATCTGTGCCTGTCATGTGAATTCAATAAAAAAGCCAACTTTGACATTTCGCTCAAATCAATGCATTCATTGATCTGAAAATAAGACTTCTTTTGAAAAATAATGGCAAAACAACAAGGCAAAATATATTTGGGCTATGAAGATGAAACAATTGGTGACAAAAATCAAACCCTATTGAATTATACAGTGAATAAAATCGGAGGACTGCCCGTAAATTTATTCATAAATTTGTTCGCATCAGAAAATTTTGTCAACCACATGCTTAGTACACTTATTTTTAATAATTTTATTGCAGGACTGGCCACCTCTCGAAAATCTACAAATTTCAACGAAATGTCCTCTTTGTGGTCTACATAGACTTCTTGTAATACAATGTTATGCACCACTTGAGAATTCTATTTATCATCGCACTCTGTATGTTTTTGCGTGTATAAATCCTAATTGTTGGATTCAGTCTGAAAGGTAACTATAGTTATGTTAAATTGGTAATATGAATTAATATAAACATCACATCAAATCCCTAGAACCTTTGTTCTCATACCTACTGTATATTTATTTTTAGTTGGTTATGTGTAAGAAGCCAGTGCCAAGATAATTCCTCAAAGGAATCGAGAGCTATTGTTACCCTCCCTACTCCGGATACTACATTGTCATGGTGCCAGGGTGCTGATGAATGGGATGAGAATGACAATGCTAATGGTAATTTCATGAATGTTGACAATGCTCCTAGTCCCAACAATGCTGTGCAGAGGTGAGTTTCACTGGTTAACCATTAACAATTTTGTTTATTTCAACTCTACTATTAAACAAGGTCCTTCTAAGTTTGCAGCTGGAAAGTACAAGTTTAAAATCCTCACTTCTACAATTCTCTTTTTGATACATAACACATATGTAGTCATATTTGTTAGAGTATAATATAACTTATTAATTAAATATTTTTCAATGTTCAAAACAGAAATTCTGATGAAGATGAAGAAAGCAATTCATATGAATTGGAAAATGTGGAACAAGCTTTTGGAAATCTCCAAGTATTTGATGCTCACAATGCGAACATGTCACCTATACAAGGTAATAATAATTTATTCATTATTACATACACAAATTATTATGTTTGAGAAATAAAATACTGATTAATAGTATATAGTTATATAGTTATATTAATAGTATATAGTATATAAAGTATAACATACTTTTTATAAAGAACAATGGTAAATAAAAGAACCCCCCGAGCCCCGAACTCAATTCAATCTAAAAGTTAATTAAGCATTGCTCTTACCATAACACTAATGAATATATAAAAATGTGCTAAATCATCATATACATTGATGCATGTTACAGGAGCTATGGGTGCTATTGGAGCTCCAGCAGCTGCAGCAGAGTTAGAGGGAGGTGATGAACCGGGATTGGTTACTGTTGACACCCCTACAGCTCCTACCAATGACATTGAGGCCTTACTGCAACAAGTAAATATATCCTTACATCTGAAGTTCTTTCATCTGTTTTTATATTTTTTTGTTTTATCTTACTGGCCTTCTTGCAGGGCTGCAAATAAAAAAAAAATGGTGCTGAAATGTTTTTAAAAATAAGTGACTCAACCCCCATTGTTGTTTCAGACTGCAGAACTACCTCCTGACTTGAGAAGTCGACTGATGTGTGGACCAGTACAATTTGTGCCGAAATATATTTATGTTGAAGAAGAGTGGAGGAAATCAATGGGCAATGATGATAGAGCTAATGAATTGTTAAATAAGTATAAAATTGAAAATGGTGAGTATAAAATTGGTAAATGATAAAATGCATGCTGTTCTATGTTACAAAAACAAGATTTAATACTATGCAATTATGTTTCAGAAATTGAAGTATGTCCAGGTGTGGACCGTGTTGTGGGTGGTTCTGATGAAGAACCTTATGAAGAAGCAGCACCACTACATGGTGACAGATTGTTCCATGCCTTCATAACAAGATTACGCAATCATCCAGGACAAATACTTAGGTAAAATCACTACAAACCTTGTTGATACTCAGTTACATACTCTAAGCGGCATTTTATTACTATAATTTACAATAAATGAATAAGTACAATTACTGCTACGCGTTTACTTACATACAAGAAAGGAATCGTCTACTTCTTTATAAACACTATTCTTACGGGATAAATCTTACGAAAAAACTAAATGATCTCTTCTCTGCATACTTCAACTTCAACAACTCTTTCAAGTGTATGAACGGTTACACATTGTGTAAACTTAAACATAGATTTTAAAGATATAATTAAAATTTTTTTACAGGTATTCTAGGGAAGAACCTCCTATCTTAGGTGCTCCATTGCCAAGTACTGCAAGCACCCCAGATACTCCGAATATGCCAACTATTTGTTCACGCTGTGGAGCTAGGCTCACCTGTGAGCTACAACTTGTGCCTGAGTTTGCTGAAACACTCCGCTTGCAACCTACCAACTTGTCTCTAGCACACCTACATTTTCTGTCTGTATTGATATTTACTTGCTCACAAAGTTGTTGGCAATCATCCGACACTCTGGTAAAAGAATTTGTCGTATTTCAACCTGAGGTTGTTTAAAATAAGCATTTGTTTATCTCGTTATTTTTTGCTCTTGTGAACTTCTTAAAGTTAAGTTTAATATTTGCATTTACGAAAGGCGAATTTGTTGTTATGACAAACAATATGACATGGTAGACACAAGGCTGGATAAAGAAGACAGTGAAAGGCTTAGCAATAACATAAATGTTTGCAATATGATCACAATTTTATCCGTGACTTATATTTATTAGTGTACTGTGATCGTGATTTTTCCACTAGAATGTAATTATTGATTTCAATATATTAGATGTTTATGAAAGTCAATAATTGTTATTTCTAATATTATATTTATAGTGGACTTATGTCTAAAGTAAGCTTAACTTCTTATTTGCTGTATATTATAATACATACATTTACTCGATATTTTTTATGCTAATATAATAACGAACCTTTTGATTAATTTTGGAATGTTGCCATGTTTGCTATAGTTTGATTTTTCTATGACATAGGTATTACACTTCAGGAATTTGCAAGAATTTATACTATCATGTACTTCATTTTGCATTTTGAATGCATTGTTATTGGAGCTTTCTCACAGTTTGTAGGAAATCGATGTCTAGTATGGCATTTTACAATAATTATAGTGTGTATATTAAGTAAACATCCTTAAATGTCCATTAATAACTGCCAGGTAGAATTAAGATTATTAAAATAGAGTAAAAGTAAAGAAAGTAGGTATGTGCTTTCAATAGGTACCTATTTATTTTCATTGGAATTCTGTTTGTCAATAACTATAACCTATCCAGTCATCACATCGTACCAACTCAAAAAGGCACGAAACTGCTTTAAAGTTTAAATTAAGTATAATATAATATTTATAAATATTGAATTGTTTAAAAAATCTTTGATATTTATAAAGTATTTACTTATTTCATTGTTTTATAATAGTACCTAACTCAAAGAGTATAATGTGGGTACCTAACTAGGTATGTACATCTATGATTTATGAAATAAATTATAATTTGCAAAATATGAAGGACTAACAACGTTATTGGTAAAAATTGTAATAATATAGGTAGATATATGTTTCTTAGTTACTACAATAAAGTAGAAAAGCCTTGTTATTACATAATTAATATTTAAGAATGTTTAAAAAATAGGTATATGAACTATGAATTACGTTGCATAATATTATACATCTCATCTATGAAATTATAATGTAGAATTTAATTAAAATCTGTTTTCCGATCCATTAATTAAACCATATTGCCTATAAATACGTCAATCATTGTAGTTTGTGGAAAATAAAAACGTGTAAGTTGATTATTATTTTTTATTATTCCTTCCTGTGAAACCCTACATTTCATGTTATTTTACTTGACGTTAGGACTTTGTAGTTGTTACATACTCTTTGGGACTTTGGTAATCTTTAACTTTGTCAAATGATAAGCATGAACGAACTATATAGTTTGATATTTGATCTCTTCAAGAAAATCTGAAATAATACCTGCTGAAAGACTACATTATACAGTTACTCTTTAAACAATAATGATTAGTCCAACAGTTAACAGTATATCATACTTAGCCCAAATCAGAGACCCTTTGTTAACCTATGCTATGACCCTTGCAATGCAGAAAGTTGGACTAAAAAGAGTAAGTGGTTGTGGCAGTATTGTATTCGTGACTACTCGGCTGACACCGAAATACCGCTAAAACTTTTAAATATTTTTTGTTATTGTATTTTAAATAATTGACCTAAATTTTTGCCAACTTTTTTCAAACAACTGCATAAAATAACCTGTATTAATTTTCGTTTAGTCGATTTTAAAACACAGATAACAAATGGAAGTGGTAACGGAAGCCACATTTTCTAGAATATTTTATCTGTGCATCCGTCTTCCATAAATGAATCGGTGCGGCGAGGCGGCGGCATAGAAAGACTATCAATTTTCGTGAGTCGAACAGTGAATCTAGTCTAAAAGTCAACGTTTGTTGCATTTCTGCGTGTGACATTTTACAACCCCGTGCAAATATACCTACACTTTTAAACATGTCTGGTGAAGCACCTGTACCTCCTGCCGTTTTATGGGCCCAGCGCAAAGAAGACGTTTTTCTCACGTTTAGCATTGAATCTAAAAACCCTACGATTAAAATAGAAAAGGATTCTGTTTACTTTAAAGGTGTGAATGAATCAGACAAAAAAGTACACGAGGTTACAATAATGTTATATGATGCTGTGATCCCTGAAACAAGCGCCTTCGTAAATAAAGGAAGATGCATAGAAATGGTTCTTCGCAAAGAAAAGAAAGACGCTTCCTACTGGCCTTCATTAACAAAGGATAAGAAAAAACCTCATTACCTCAAGGTAGACTTCAATAAGTGGAAAGATGAAGATGATGAAGAAGACAATGAGAATGGTGGAGGCAACTCAAATGACATAGAAGAAATGCTCCGGTCTATGGTTGGCGGTGGAGGCGACAAGGCTGATAAACCCTCATTTGATGACTTAGAAACAGACTCTGACGATGAAAATCTACCAGATCTTGAATAACATCCCTGGAGTGATAAAACTTTTATTTAACACACGAAAAGTACATTATGTATAAGGTTTTTACAGTTATAATAAAATCATTGATAAAATGAACAGGACATTAATTTTAGTTGCCAGCCAACCTGTGCCCGTATCACACAACTTAAAACCCAAATGAGCGAGTTCCAAATGTGTAGTTAGAAAATATTTAATTTTCTTAAATATATTCAATAAGAAATAAGTATTAAAATGTTTTTCAATAGCCCTTCAAATACTAATGTAACTTTATTAAAAGCATCTAAAAGACATCCTCTACCTTTCACCGAGTATGTACAACAAGCTACATGAATCAATTGTGCATTTACAAACACCTATCTCTCATATATTACAAATAATATGACAAATCTATAGAAACCACAAAGGCCCATTCAAGTAAAAAAAAATAGATTTTATTAAATATGTTGCAAGGATTAAGTTAGTTTCAAAAGAGCCTTTCCTACTGCATAGGTAGCTTAGATATTTTAGTTTTAGCTAACAATGACCTTCCATGAAATGTGGAGTTAGGTATTTATTCAAAGTAAAGTTAAGTATTCCTTTTATGGTCTGGAACATTCTATTAGTACCTACCAGATGTGGTTTGATCAATAATTTTGCGGCTTGATAAAGGACGCTTAGTAATGTTTTGTTAATTAATAAGCAGTGGCTAGTAAGCATAGCGCTTACTAACCACATAGAATACTTACCTATTCTCATTTTTTGATATTGCCCTAGAGACAACCTACCTAAACGTTTAAACATTTGCCATTATAAGTACCAGTCATACCTACCACATTCAAATTTGATTGTGACCTTATAAATTAACTAGTTTTTATAAAGTTGTTAAATTTTAAATGTCGAGGTAATGTTTATTTTGCTATTTACCGCATGTCTACTTTATAGACTCGTTCATCTTCGAAAAATTGAATAATGTTTCGAAGATGCTTTTTCACGAAATTATTTAATTTTCAGAATACTTAGGTACAACATAACGTAACAGTAGGTACATACTAACCTACCTTCTTGTTCAAAAAACCGTCAACGAAAGCACGGCAAACTAAACTATGTATGCTATAGTAGAGTTGACATACATAGGTTAAAGTAGGCGTGGGAATTCAGTGCCTTAATCGGCTTCAGTGTTACGAAATAACAATGGGGTTGTTGAGGACACTGACAACGGAACGGAAGCCATATTATAGTAGCAGGAACTCATTTATAAAATATAGAAATATATTTATAAACTATGAATAAGTTCGATTGAAAATTATAGATAGGTAGGTACCTACACTTTATTTAAAACTTCGCCCACAATTTCAACCACACATCCAACCCGCCCGTCGTGAAGTCGAGGCTTACTTGACGGACAGACCCGTCATCTATCATCATCTTATCACCGGGATCGGTCCTGGGACCTCTCCTGTGGAACATCGGGTACGATTGGGTGCTATGCACCGACCTCCCGAGCGGCGTCAGCATATATAAGTAGCTTGCTACGCTGACGACACACTGGTGCAAACGAACGTCAGATCACATCAGGCGGCGGCCAACCTGATGTTACAAGCGGTTGCGATAGTACCTAGTCGCTGCTAGGATGCGGCAGTTGGGACTCCAGGTGGCGCTCCACAAGTCCGAGGCCATGTGTTTTTATGGCCCTCGGAACACGCCATCTCCAGATAGGTCCCAAATAACAGCAGGAGGCCAAACGCCTCCATCCATGGTCCTCTATGGGGCCGCTGTTTGGGCGCTGGACTTGAGACGGCGGCGAGCTCGTACGCTGGTAGTGTCCCAGAGGGTCATGGCTATTTGGATAATCCGCAGATATCGCACGATCTCCGGGAAGGCGGCAAACTGCGAAATCCCTCTATGCCAGCATAACTGCTTCTTTCTGTGAAGCAGTTATGCTGGCATAGAGGGAGGCGGACCGCGTGAGGGAGCAACCCTCCTCCTTACGCCCCAGCCGCCGCCAGCAGACGACACTCGGGGATCAAGAGACGATCTCCGACAACACCGGACGGCGAGTAAGGGTAGCTCTCCGTCCGACCAGAACCAGACCCGAGCGTACGGCGCGTAGCGTTCCGCGCGCGCCTCAAAGAGCTAATAGACCATTACAGACGGGGTCCTATAGGGCTGATGTTCAGCCGGGGCTGCGGGGTAAGCGCAATGAGGAACTGCGACCTCGGCCCAGAGCAGGAGAAGGAACGGGGGTGTTTTTAGTCAGTAAGTCTTGACACTCCCTCCAGCACGACCCTGAGCGGGAGAAGCCATTCGATGATTTTCCCCTCACAAAAAAAAAACATCCAACTATGGAAGAATAATTTGTGGGGAACACGAATTGTCCCACTGCATTTCTTTATTAGAACAAGGCAGTAGGTATTATCGATACAATAAGCTTCACATACTATGGCTTCTAAACCACCCGTATAAACCCCATTATACGCGCAAAATTCATTCCAACGAATCAACGAAGGTATACCTAATAGATATCAACTATTCTAACTTAATGATCCGCTGCTTATAAATTTTATTATAATATACAAATATAAGTAGCCTTTAATGACTTGCCATTAAAATGTATCTTCGAATAACCGAGGAGCCTATAATAAGAAAAAAGTATATTACTGTAGATATATTATGGTGTTTCAAATAACAAACAGCCTTTAAAATATAATGACTATGTCTGGAATGCCAGCTATGTATTAAGGGTAAATAAATCATAAGACATTACATAATTAAAGAAGTTTATTATTTAGATTTTTCAGAAACTTGTACAGACACACTGAATAAATGAAATTGTTGCCCATGTCTACGAATATTTAAAGTTAACGTCATGCAGTAAATGAGTCTATTCAGGCTCTCACATTTCAACATATAAGCGGCTCCTTGACCAGGACTGAATATCGGCGCGCCATAACTTTGACAATCAAACATGAAGTACGACGATCCAATCCTACCAAATGCTAGGTTTTTAGCCGGACTAGTAAGTATTCCAAGTGTATTCTTTTCAAAGAAATATGATAACGCCTTACTCAAATTGAAACGATCAGGATATATGTTGTAAACAAATCCAAAAATAATTTTCTCAAATTTAACTGTAAACACAAACGGATACATATCTTCAAATTTAGTATCTAAATCGGTAATACTAATTTCGTAATTAGGAGCCGAGCCAACTTTAGCAGCGCACTTTTTATGGTAGCTGTTACCACCATAAACAATTCCATCGAGGAATCCGCTCGTCCAAGCGCTTATGTTACAGGCCTGGGTCATACCGATAGCCACGACATTAGTTGCTAGGTATTGTTTACCGCGAAGTTCTTCCTCAAAGCGTTTATCCAGTGGATGTATAGTGCCCCACAATGAATACAAATCACCCGGAAATTCGATATCCCAATCTTTCCACATAGTTTTCGGTGTTTTCCTGTCGAAGCCCAAGTCATTGACGGCGTTCATCCGAGACCATGGTATCGATGGAATATTTAACCAATACATTTTCTCGTCAACTATGGGACGCACTTTTCTTCGTTTTAGATAAGGTAAGTTAGGATTATCGTCGGGCCTAAAGAGAGGACTTAGTCTATAATTCAGAGCTGAATGTCGAGGAGCACTTTTCACTGAAGTCAGTTCAAAAGTATAAAATTCGGGATCATCAGCTTGCTTTCCTGGTAACACTTTCTTTATTCGCCGAACAAGAGCTTCCATAGAACGATATAATGTCCAAGAAGCTACTCCACTTCCTTTTTTAGAAGGCACCTCTTCGCCTTGCTTATCTTCTTCTTTGAAATCTTCACTTGGCGGCGGGTAGGGGTCAAAGAGATGATAAAACCCTTCTGTTTGGCATATTACTAAACTACACTGAGGATATCGTATAATAACGTAACGCATTCTTTTCAATACAGCCCTTAAATATTGCTCGAGTCTTTTCTCCGGATTTTCGTTAACAACTATAATTTTTTTAATGTTAATGTTTATGAACTTTCCGTCCAAGATTACGTTTTTAATAACTCTCTTTTCACAAACATTCAGGTTTGTAGCTTTTTCGTGTATTTCTAAACCTTTTTCTATACAAACATCAACCATGACATGGTCCCACGTCCTGATCGGGTGCATCGCGGCCATTAGCATTGCGATTAAGCAAACGAAATGACAAGACTTCACATCTGAGCTAGGGTTTCTCTGATTAAGTGAAGTAGTTCCTTCTATTCGATAAACACCATCCACCAGTTGATACCCAACCGTCGTTTGGCTCTTCATTTCTTTAACGTCTAACTGTCGGCTTTCAGCCTCCGTTTCAGAAGCTACAATAGTTTGTTTAGATTTTTTTGACGTAGGTTTACCAGTAGAGAAGTCGTGATCTTCGGGTAATTTAGTGCGAGCCTCTTTAAGGAGTCTTCTAACTAGTATTCTACTTAATATAAATTGTTGGTCATCTGATCCTCCGTCTTTGTTGTAATTAATTCTGTAATGAAGATAAAGGTCGGTTCAAGACTTGGTATGATCTAAAGCTTTCGCCAAAAGTAACCCAAGATATTTAAATTATAAAAACACATTTACCTGCTCACGAGGTCGTGTAGTGTGCGGAATCTTAAGAAGCATGCTTTTCCCTTATTGCCCGAATCGTCTCTCAGGCCCATTGCGTTACAAGGACTACCATCAAAGAGATAATAGAGCCCATTTCTTTTGAAAAATGCACAACTGTACGACGCAGTTGTGACCATGCCGCGGTCAAATTTTGTAAAGAATTTCCGAGCTAACACATGCTCCATTTGCCAGCTAGCGCCTTCTCCCACAACATCAATATTAGCATGATACGCCTGAAATAAATTGCATCATAATTATAATAATAGTCACATAATGAACTTTTGCTGTGAAGTATTAACACTGACCTGATGACCGAGTGCAATTTTAGGTATAATATGAACAGGTGCAAGTTGAAACTTCTGCTGTTTGTTTTCGTAAAGTCTCAACGCCGTATCTACTATGAAATCCACAATACCAGGAGTCCACGTATTGATAGAGTATTTATAAGATGTCACTATTGCCATAATTGCTCCAAAAGGCAACCTATCAATAGTTTCTGGGGCGCCCGATTCCGAAACAGTGGTAGATCCTCTAATGATTTGTGAGGTATCAGGTAGGTCTTTGAAGTTGGTCGGTTTCTTGAGCTCTTCTTCGGGAGTGGCCTCAAATTGATCCTCCATGAGAGGAGGTGTCATTTTCTTGCGAATTTTCCGTAGTTTGAAACGATACTGAGCGTCTTCCGTGAGAAGAACACGACGGTCGACATTGACTGCGGGCAGAGTTTGAACTTCATCCTCTGCTAACTGCATTGGCGCCAACTAGAAAATAGATAGGTAGATGTCAAATAACTACAAAAATATCTTCATTTAACTTAAGTAATTTTTATCATGTAGGGTGTAGACATAGCAATCGTTGCATCGATCTTAGACCTTAACCAATACTTAAGTAGGATAACGCAAGACGGTTGGGTCGAGAATCTGATGCAAGTAGGTTTTTTATGTAACAGCTCGGTAAACGAGCAGACGGATTACCTGATGGTAAGCAATCAGCGCCGCTCATGGACACTTGCAACGGAGGAGTTACGAGTGCCTTATCGACCTTTTAGGGATTTGGGATTTGGACATTTTGGGATTGAGGAGGGATTGGGCCTCTGGTAACCTCACTCACACGGCGAAACACAACGATGTGGTTGTTTCATGCCGGTTTTCTGTGAGGCCGTGGTATCACTCCGGTCGAGCCGACCCATTCGTGCCGAAGCATGGCTCTCCCACAACTAAACCTACCTACTTTTACTAAAGAGAAAGATAATTATTATTAAAAACTTAAGCTATGTTACATACAGGCACTTCGGGCTCCGGTTGTGGTGAGGGTGGTGGCGGTGGCAATGGGGGTGGTATCTCCGCTGCTTTCCGCCGCGCCTCTTCTTCCTCAGCCTTCCTCTTTGCTTCTTCTTCTTTCAACTTCCGCGTGTCCTCATCCTCTTCTTCTTCTGCTGCTTCTTCCTCCTGATAAAGCAAATGAGAAAGATTAAGGAGATATAACATATTCTGAAGAGTTATATTAATTTGCTTATGAATATAAATATATATATTATTATGATTGAACGGCAAACGAGCAGACAGATTACTTGATCGTAAGCAATTGGCGCCGACCATGGAGACCTGCAACATCAGAGGAGTACAAGTGCGTTGCCGGCCTTTTAGGGATAAGAGCTTCGGATATTAAGAGATTGGGAAGGGATGGGAAGAGGGAGAAGGATTGGATCTCCGGCAATCTCACTGATACGGCGAAACACAACAATGTAGTTGTTTCACGCCGATTTTGTGGGGCCGGTGTATCACTCTGGTTGAGCCGATCTATTTGTACCAAAGCATGACTACCCCTCAATTAAAAGTATATGCTCTATTACTTTAATAGAGGATCACAAATATTTTCACAACAAAAAAAAATATTAAATTAAACTTACGGCTTCTTCTCCACCTTCGGGGGGCTGAAAATAAAATTTACATCTTAGTGCAACATAAAGTACAATACATAGTAGACTCATTTAAACATAGATTGTAGCTAATTTTATTACATATTCCTATACTAGTTATTTGGTCGAAAATACTAATTTCAACAACACTATAGGTAAATCGATAACAAAGTAGCAATTACGTCCACAGTCTTTTTATGTAATAACCGAATTGTGATATATCTCTACTACATTGACTTGCTATTCCATAACCCAAGTAGCACACTTCAGCCACCTTAAATCTATTTATGCTATAGGAGTACTAATCATGGCTATTTTAAAGACATTGGCATTCTATACAGGGTTTTAGATAAGAACTAAAATTCTAATAGAATAAAATATCTAGTGTCCCTTGTTTTAAAACCTTTATTAGTTCATTACACTGAGTTAAGAGCAAATTGATTTGTTATGGACTATATTTGCACTATTAAAAGCGCTGCTGTAGATCAATTATTCTGTAGACTTATTATCACAAATACTTTTTGAGAATTGCGATTATTTGTAGACCAATTACTCTATAAATAATCAAAAAGGTCTTTATATGGATTTGTTAGGCACTTTTTTAAGTGTATACTTAATAGAATCAATGACTAGATACTCTATAGTGTATACTCTAGTGAAACGCCGGCTTCCTCTTTCTTTAGAGAATTTACGTTAAAAACATTTTATTTTAAGTGTATTGAGTATATAAAGGACAGCGTTCTGCAAGCATGAAGAAAGCAAAACATATTAAGAATACAGGAGGCTTTCGGTGAAAAGTGGAAAAGGATAAAAAAGGTATTTACGCGGGTATTAACGCGGAAAATTATAATTTGAATACCTTGGTAGGCTTGACGTTTCGACCCGGTTGCACAGGTCGTGGTCACAAGCAGACTGAAGACGCGATGTCACAGCTCCCTGCATTCGGGTGATGAATCTTCATCTACCCCCTTATTTTCATTTTCTACCATATTGGGCCGTCTACACACTACGCTGAATATATCCACAGATGTGTTAACCGACTTTGAAGGAAAGCGAGGTTGTGTTTTGCGAAGCACTGGATTCCACGTCGACGACAATTTAAAGCCGTCCTCCCGATTGAAATTATTTGGGCATTTCTTTATTTCAACCGCTTCACGCACAAGTCTTGTATGGTAGTGGCGATCAGTGGAGAGAATTTGTGGAATTCTACCCAGTGATTAGAACCAGCCTGGAGCAGGTGTTCTGCTATCGCTGATTTGTTGCTCTGTCGGTTTTTGACTGCGGCGATATGTTCTTTGAGCCTCTCAGCAATGGTCCGCTTCGTTTGCCCAATGTAGGAACTACCGCAGCTGCAGTTGATCTTATAAACACCTGGGCTTTGTAGCGGCAGTACATCCTTCGCCGTGCCTACCTTATCATGAAGTTTAGCCTCAGGTGTGTAGATCGTCGGGATCGAAAATTTTTTAAGGACGGATCCTATCTTGTCTGTTACACCCTTGATATAAGGCATGAAGGCAGGTTGTCTGCTCACGTTTGGATGTCTGGCTCTCTTCAGCGGTCGCAATAGTCGCCCATCCCCTACACTATATCCGTTCTTTTTAAGTACCTCCTGAACATGGTCTAGCTCTTGCCCCAGATGTTCAGGGTCACAGAGGTCATATGCTCTGTTTTTTAGTGATATCATCACGGATTGTAAGTGTCGGGGGTGATGATGTGACTTTGCATGTAGGTACCGATCAGTGTGAGTTGGCTTTCGGTATACACAGTGCGATAAGGACCCATCTTATATAACTTGCCCCCTCGTGAATCTCTGAGAGAACTATTTAAAACGATAAATATCCTAACGGTACCTTGTCAGTTTATATATGAAAATATTATGTACGTAAGGAAAAATTTGCAATTATTTGAAAAAAGAAGCAATAGACATAATTTTAATACAAGAGGCAAAGATAGGCTGCCTGTGCCACGATTCCGTCTGTCCAAAGTACAGAAATCCTTTATGGGGTTCTGTATAAATTGTTACAATAAAATTCCAAGAAGTGTATTAAATCTTAATGAACGAAAATTTAAAACTTTTATTAACGCAAATTATGTAGACAGGCTTACTACAAACTTTCAGATTATATTGAGGATAAGAATGCCTGGCAGCATGTTGGTTCGGCTCCACTGGACAATACTCAAATATGTAGTCAGTAGTTATTAAAATTCTCAAAATTAATGAAACCTTGAATGAGTTGATATAGAAGCATTCTTTTGGATTGTGAGTACGCATATGTGAGCGCCATGTTCGAGACAACAAAGGATTAAAATTTTAATGATAGATTAGATAGACCATCATTTGTTCCTTTTTATTAACAACTTGTCTCTGCATTGTTCTCACATAGGGGTACAGTAATGTATAAAAAATGTATTATTGGTGAATTGTAAAACAAATATTTTTTTAAAAAGCGTAACGATGGAGTTTCTTGCTCGTTCTTCTTCATTCGAAACTACAATTTGGAACGAGCACCTAGCTTCACTGACGAACAGACTGACAGACTACTATTCTATTTTGACGTTTTCAAAAGTACCTATTTATGGTTTAGTTGGAATAAATGATTTTGATTTGATTTGATTTGAACATTTTTATTGTATCTAGGTATTGTTGTTTTAGAAAAATATTGACAGCCTGATGCTTATCAACATTTTTAACAACTATTTTGCGCAGTTACCATATGCTCCACTGAAGCCAATGCTCACCTACTCTACTTAGCATTGCTGAATCGTTATTTAATACATATATTGAATACTACAGAGAGATTTATGGAGAAGGCCATATGACCAGTAATGTCCATAACCTATGCCATGTAGTAGAGGAGGTAAGAAGATTCGGGATATTATCTTCATTCGATGCCTATCCTTTTGAGAATACTTTGCATCATAAGCGACTACTGAGGAGTGGCCATAAACCTCTACAGCAGGCTGCGAAAAGATTAATCGAAAAGACTAATATTTCAACTTACGGAAATCGAAGAGGTCCCTCACATAAACTAACAAACATAAAGACAAAAAGATTAAAAGATTTGATAAGTTTGATTAGAAAGCAATAAATCAAAAATACATTTTTACAAAACGATTGATCTTGAGAAATATTCAGTAAGCAATGATGGTATCAATTGTTGTTTTCTTACTAATAATGATATTATTGTCAAGCTGCACTGTGTAGTTAATATAAATCAACATTATTATTTGTATGGAACACAATAAATCTATTTAAACATATAAATACTGGCTCTTTGTGGTATTTGTAGCACCGAAAAATAACATAAACGCAAAAACACCTTCTTCTTATGCCAGTCTGATAAACTCTGGTAGATAATTACGAGAAAAAATAGTTTATAAATATTCCATTTTATAGATTACCATAGGATCGTTATAAGAATAATTCTACTATTAAAAGATTAATTCTTCTGATGAAAGTGCAAGTTGACTTGTCATGCTCTTAAAATGACCTTTTAGGAGTAAATCATCTAATCAAAACTTATTTATAGATAATTTAATCTAGACGCCATTTTTATTAATAAATAGAACACGACGGTAATCGCCACTTTGGAGAAAAAATTAGAAATTTTGTTAACAATAAAATATGGTATTTCCTAATTTCTAAACATAAAAATACTTAAATAAATTAAATTTTAATTAAAATATATTGTTTGCGTATTTATTTTAACAAAATATAAAAAAATGAACACCAATAATATTGTTTATTATAGTTATCAGTTAAATTATACGAATATACTAGGCCCGTAAGTTTTTTGAAACTCTTTCATCGACTTTTACGATAAAATAATTTTGGCACTGAATTTCCGCCCTCCGTTCGCGCGAAACAAAATTTAGAATATCAAGAAAAAATATACATATATTTAATTTCATTTCGCCATTAAAGCTACAACTTAAAATATTTTTAAGTACGGAGTGCCATTAGAAAATAGGAAATGCTTTTTAAAAGAAGTAACTCTTGTTGATATTTTTATTTAGTAGATTTTGATTATTAGTGGTTTTAAAAAAAATCACCACTAGAACATCAGTAGAGTCATGGTGTTATCTTAATGCTGGCTACAAAACTTAATTCCTTTCTTATGTGTCTCTTATTGTGTTCTTAAGGTAGTTTTGTAGATATTCCCTATAGATAAATATGAATTGCTCTTATCGTTATCTAATGATGAATTCTTATGCTGCTCTTGTTATTATAGTATAGATAGTTGCCCATTTTTACTGAACTCGGTATATAGGATATCTTCAGGGATTATTTACTCTTATGCAAGAATTCTAAGTTTAATTCTCTAAAATATCTAATAGTGCTTCACTAGATATACTTGTGCTACTTGGGAAGAAGGTTAATTAATGGGTTTCCATACATACTTCTTTCATGTCAAATCATAGTAAACTACAGAACTGATTTTAATGAAACTCTGTATTTTAACGCAATAATATACCTATCAAGGTCTAAAAACATTATCGAAATATGGTTTACGAGAGCAGTTATAAATGATTTTTTTTTTATTGTATGGAAAATCGTGCGGTGTCAACTACCTCATTATGAATCCCGGTGTAGCTTGAAAGAAGTCCAGCTTTATCGAACAATTTCATTCAAGTACCTATGTATGACATCTACTTCTACCACTGAACATAAGTTTCCCTCAGCATATACCCGATAGACCAGTTGGAAGCGACCTGCGCTTTGTGACGTCATATCATCGTTATGAATACAGTTCACTAAGTATTCAAGATGGACTACTAATAACCAATTATCTATCGTCCCTTTTAAATTATTATTTAGAGAAACGGTGAGTATTAAAGAACTGTCACCGGCAGTGGCGGCGGCGTAGGTGGAGGAGTAGGTATCGGGCTTGGGTCAGGTTCAATAGGTTCATTAGTCTTGTCGCGAGGTTTCGGCCATGGTGGGACCACCTGTGTCACCGACACAGTTGGAGAATCCAAGTTTACTGTAAAAAGTAAATTTTTTTTATTAGTAACTTTCATTAGACATTCTAAATCTATTGAAAATAACGACTTACTTACGTGAACGAACTGCAAACGCATGCTGCTCATTATGTAGAAAAGAAAAGTCCAAGCCACAACGAGGCCCTATGTGGCTTGGACCTGTTTCTTTTCTCAATTAATTCAAATGAGTAGGTAGTTATTATCAACATTTTTATATGTAACTTTTGACCACCAAAAACGTTAGCATAAAATCTCGTGACGAGTAATGCAGATTTTTTTTAAGTTCCATGCGGCACTGTGGGTGTACCATTTTCTTGGACATAGACATTACCACGGGATAAAGTCGTTTTGTAGTGCTCTCGTATTTAAAAAAAACCATTGGCTAATAGTAAAAAAATATTGTTCATCGTGAAACACTCACCGACTTTTGGTTCAGTTGGTTCGTCTACATGGGTCTTGTATTTCATTGGTATCGGCGGAATATAATCCTCTTGTACACTGTCCACTAAAGATATAATATCACCCATTTTTTCTTCATCCACTGCATTCGCCTATAAATTAACAAAACGCCTCGTAAGTATCGAAGAAATTTTAGACATTCGGATGTTAAAACATTAATCAAACTTAAATTTGTAAATTGTGTCTAAGTACACCTCCAAAATATCGATTTAAGTTCTTAGCCCGATGGATGGATGGTAAACAACTTTGTTAATAAATAATTCGCATTTTTTACTCGCAGAATGCGGAGAAGTCGTTTCTGCGCATTCTGCGAATAACAATTTGGGTCGATTTGATATCATAGTAGGTTACATCCATATGTGAAAATACCGCTATTATAGTGATATTTGTCAAACGCGTTTCCAAATATTTTAAATGAGTATCCAACTCACTCCAGGATTATTACTATCCAAAACAACTTCGACGGGCATGACGTCATGATAGATCTCCCTGCCGTCACCGTGGTCTTTGCTCGTTCCTGTACCAGGTAAACTTCTCGCTTTTTTCTTCGCTCCAGGCAGCTCTTCGTCGCTTAGGGTACAAACTATTTGCATCTGATAACAAAATTAGAAAATCAAAAATGTCCATCTGACTTTCTTTCTTTAATAATAACAAAGGCTCAAATTCAAAATACCTTTGGCTCTTTCTTCTTTAACTTCAGAACCTTAAAAGCGTGAATATAGAACTGTGTTGTGGCCGGTAAATAATCCCAGTTTTTAGTAAACGCGCTCGCCATAGTTTCTGGATTCAAAAGCATCAAGCAACACGCCTTTCCAGACTTCATCACTCGAAGTCCATCACTGGTGCGCGGATAAGGATCAAACAAATAGAACATATCCTTTTGTCTCCAAATCCCCAATGTATAATTATTAAACTCTAAGATACCGCAGTTATATTCGTGATTGAAAAATTCTTCAAGACCTGTTCTAATATTTAGTAGGCATTCTTTCGTTGTATAGAGTTGACCTTTCACTCTTTCTCTGTATATTATAATTTCACATGCGTAAGGACCAATCATAATCTCGTTCGGTATATTGTCAATAGTTATATCGATCATTACTTTCGGATGCGTGCAATCTATATACAGTTTGTTGCCCAGCCGTAATATTTTGTCCAATGTTTTCGAAAACCATGTGTTTGGTGGTGATATTTTTGCGTAGGTCATCGCGACAATTGCGATCGGTAAAGCTTGTCTGAATTTTGCCTCCTCAAAGCATCGATCACCCAAATGCATATTAGCGTTGACTATAGCACAGTTTTCATTTAAAATTCTGTATCCCATCATCGCTTTTTCGGCTTGTGTCAGTTCTTTATCAGATTCGAAATCTTCGTCACATTTTTCGTCAGCCATCTTTAATACTTTTACAGGAGCCAGAACGTATTTCTGATCTTCAAGTATACTGCGTGCTAAAAGAACTTCAGCGACTGAATCGACGTCTTTTACATTAATGAGAGCCGCTTGGCCATGGGCAAAGTTGGAATAAGCTCTCGAATCTCTACCGGCGGGGTCGAAAATATAATAGCAGACTCTGTCCTTCCATATGACCAGTTTTAGGACCCTGGTCGCAATGAGAAAAAGAAACATTAGGTTTTAAATATCGATAATTCTCTAAGTAGCCTTGATATAGTACCAAGCGCATGCCCGCGCTTGGTACTATAACAGGCGCCTAGTCTAAGTCCTAGGCTTTGAGAAAATGTCTACATCAATGAACAAAATGAAAAATGGAGAGGTCGGTTTTAATCAAGGTCAAGTTTAAAAATCTGAAATAATGCGAATATCTTGCTTGCCCGTACTATCTTTATAGCGTCCTTAACTACCGAAAAATTGTTACTACTTTCTCTAACCTGGTTAGCAAAATCCCTGCTCGGTTTTCCTTGAAGAAAGCCTTTAGTCCCCTGCACAAGTTATATATAGTGGGATCCAAGGACATGGTGTATCCAACGATGTCAGGTTCACAAAGCAAAACTTGCATTCTTTTTCCATTCAGAACCAATATTTGTTTCTTGCCAAATTGCAACACTTCGCAGATACCCTGCACTTGAGAATGATCATGGACTTTATCCAGGCATTGGATGTACCTGAGAAAGCGAAAATAAGCGTTATTTGCCAAGAGCTATGGGTAAATTTACAAAAGCAATCATTTCTGCAATCGTGTATTGTGCATTGTTATTTTCTATGAACCAACCGTTATGAAGAATCTATACTAAAACTGATATAATAAAGAGGTAAAATTTGTAAGTTTGTAGGTTTGTAAGTTTGTATGTTTGTAAGTTTGTATGTTTGTAAGTTTGTATGTAGGGGGTACTCTTTGGAACCGCTGGTCGGATTGCCAAAATTATTTCACTGATAGCTAGCTACAATGTTCCTGAGCGCTATAGGCTATAAAACATCACGCTACGATTAAAAGGAACCGAGCAGCGGGAGAAACTGCGCGAGAGTAGCTAGTAATATGTATACATAGTCTGGCCATAAATACTGTTACAATTAAAAATAAACAAAATATTACATTTGAATTTGGAATCTGTCATTTTTATATAATTTTTCTTGGTGTTTTCTTATTTTGGCGCCAATAAATTGTTCAATATTTTGCGATATTAAAATGGAGTGGGGTGATAAAGAGAACCGAATCGCTGTGATTGCATTACACAAAGTGGGTATGGGGCCAAATGCAATTTTTAAAACTCTCCACACGCTTGGCATTAGTCAAATGTTTGTGTACCGGGCTATTAATAGGTACAATGACCTCCTCTGTTTGTGACAGAAAAAGATCTGGCCGTCCACGTAGTGTTCGTACGAAAAAGGTGGTCAAAGCAGTAAGAAGTAGCAGGAAAAGAATTCGAAGAAATCCTGTCCGAAAGCAAAAGATTTTATCTCGGGAGATGAAGATAGCACCTAGAACCATGTCGCGTATTTTGAAAGACGACTTAGGACTTGCAGCCTATGAGAGACGCACTGAACATTTTTTAAATGATAATATAAAAAAGAATAGGGTGATAAAATCTAAACAACTACTGAAGCGGTACGCAAAGGGAGGTAACAGAAAAATTTTGTTTACGGATGAGAAAATTTTTACAATTGAGCAACATTTTAACAAACAAAATGACCGTATTTATGCTCAAAGCTCTAAGGAAGCTTCTCAATTAGTCGACAGAGTGCAACGTGGGCATTATCCGACTTCAGTGATGGTTTGGTGGGGTGTTAGCTATAAAGGAGTGACTGAGCCATACTTTTGCGAAAAAGGTATCAAAACATCGGCACAAGTGTATCAAAATACCATTCTCGAGAAGGTAGATAAGCCCCTTAACAACACCATGTTCAATAACCAACAATGGTCCTTCCAGCAAGACTCGGCGCCGGGTCATCAAGCTCGGTCCACGCAGTCTTGGTTGGAAACGAACGTTTCCGACTTCATCGGAGCTGAAGACTGGCCGTCGTCTAGTCCCGATCTTAATCCGCTGGATTATGATTTATGGTCAGTTTTAGAGAGTAGGGCTTGCTCTAAACGTCATGATAATTTGGACTCCCTAAAACCATCCATACGATTGGCAGTGTAGAATTTTCTCATGGAAAGAGTGCGTGCTTCTATTGATAACTGGCCTCAACGCTTAAAGGACTGTATTGCAGCCAATGGAGACCACTTCGAATAAGCTTCTTATGTTTTAAATTGTTTTATATTTATGTATTAAACTTACATTCTGTTAAAGCAATAAATGTTATTTGCAATAGAAAAAATATTTTTTAATTTGTTACAGTATTTATGGCTAGACTAGATATATATTAACAGGAATAAAATTTTACTACGGGAGGGCGCGCAACACTAGCCCTGCGCCATTTTAACGAGCGCAACCCCTCTCTAGGTCGGAGCTGTCAGATGAAGAAAACTGTTTTTCGCGGGGTTTGGAACTGTAAAGCCGATTTCTTAAATGTTATGTCTATTCATCAACATATCATTGTGTTAACATGTTAAAAATATATATTACATACCATACATCACCAGCGTCCACCAAGTTGTCGATCAGCTTCATCGTCCATTGCTTAGGGTGGTAGTGGAATGCTAAGCAATAAGCCATTACGCTCATCGTCAATGCTTGTCTACCTCGTGACCTCTGACCTGTAAATAAAATATAATAAATAATTATAAGTGGTCCAGCAGTCATACCTTCTTGTTTTTGCCTAAATTTGAAAAACTAGAGCGAGAAAGATCCTTGATCACAACTTACCAAACTTATTATCATACATATTGAAGGAGCCGGTCAGTATACCGTAGTGTATATCCGGCCTTCTGTCCTTGGTACACGGAATTACTGTTAGGGAGTGAGTCTGTAAGGTTCCTCTTTTTAAATTCATTGGTATGTGCACCTGGAAAATGACGTAATGAAAAATTTTAATACATTAAGTGTGGGAGAGCCGTGCTCCGGCACAAATGGGCCAGCTCGACCGGAGTGGTACCACGGCCTCACAGAAAACTGGCGTGAAACAACAACGTTTTGTTGCACCGTGTGAGCGAGGTTACCGGAGGCCGTATCCTTCCTCTACCCTAATCCCTCCCCAATCCCGAAATCTCCAAAAGGTCGGCCACGCACCCGTAACACCGCCGTGGTTGCGCTTGTTCATGGGCGGCGTTACTGCTTACCATCAGGTAAAGTGTGTGCCCGTTGGCCGTCCTATTACAAAAAAACTCTTGTCTCATGTTCAAAATATTCCAAAGTGGAAAAAATCTATAACTAAGTAATTATCGCAGTGAAACAGCTATAATTTTTTTTTTTTGTATTAGTTAGGTGGTGCTCATTTATTCGTAGAAAGCCGCAAGAAGGCAACCGTTTTGGCGCCTAACATGCCGATGGCCTGCATTATTTGCAGGCCACGGGGTTTTGCCCAATTTGGGGGTTTGGGCACATCTTGGGGAAGACGCTAGCACCGTGGTCACGTGCCATGGTACTTAGCATGGTTAAGCAAAGACAAAGGAGACTTAGGTTTCCTTACGGACGTGCCGTAATAAGCGATGCACAACGAGGACTCCGGAGTAGTTCCATAAGAGGGCCCGAGGCCTCACATAGCTGATGATATTGTCCATCCGGATTGTTTTAATAATGTAACAACCTCAAAATACCGCGCTTTCTTCTCAAAAACCTAGGTGCTGATTAAATTATGCTTGTAAGAAGGTCTTACATGTTCCGGTCTAGGTATTTCATCCAAACCGCAAACTTCATCCTCATCATTTCTCGGCATAAATTTCTGTGTGCCCCTTGCTCTTGGTTTCCCGTCGGTAGCGCCAAGAGTAACGTATCCTGAGTCTGGGTAGCTGAAACATGATATTATGGTGTTTACATCGTAGAGAAACCTAGACTTATACTTTCTAAGACATTATTCGTTCCTTCAGTAGTCTGTGCTGTTCCTCAAAGTAGAAAATATAAATATATCAACCATAGCATATTATGTCGTATTAGCTCGTAGGTTAAAGCGTGCGGGTTCGGAACCTGGCAAGTACCAATATGACGTTTTCCGAATTATATGTACTTCCTATGATTATTGAGACACCACTGACATACGGTGAAGGTAAACATCGTGAGGAAACCTGGACTTATCATTCCTAAATATAAGTTTGAAATTGAGCAAGCGTGGTGATTAGGTAATGCTCAAAACCTTCTCCGTGTGAGAAGAGGCCTTTGCTCAGCAGTGGATCCTTATAGGCTGATGATGAACCATAGCGGCTTTATTTTGCTCCTAATATTTGTAATATATCTCGATTGTTAACGAGAATGTAAGCTCACTTACCCTCTAATTCTCAGAGCCAGTTTTCTTTTTTTCATAGCATTTACATATTTTCTGAAAACATTTTCATTTCAAATTATATAGGGTATCAAAGACAAATATTGCAAAACTTCATAGAAAGTACATACCGACATTTCTTTTTAGTGCATTTCTTCTTTTTACAAATCCTAGAAAGGTAGTTAAAACTTATAAAAATATATTTTCGATAAGTAGCATAAGAAAACACTTTTGCTTAACTTACCCTCCCTTGTAGCAAGGCTTCGATTTTTTTGGTCTGTAAAGATAAAATATTATTAAGCATAAGAAGCAGAACGTAGCTATCAGAGAGTGCTACTGTCCTATTACGGTTACTGATACAATTCCTTGGTTATCTCTTACGACAACCACTTCTATTCGCTATACTACTATGCCGTCACCACACGGCACTTATTATTATTTACAAGTAAAGTACTTAAAGTAACGTACTTAGTTGGTTCCGAAGAGCCTGGTATATGTACAACATCTGGTACAAATTCCCGATCCCTGTTGAGAACTATCCCGCTATGCGGCTTGAACAATCTATATGAACAAAAAACAAATAATAATGCAGTTGTCAGAGGACTCAATATTAAAATAAATAATATAAAAGTAAACATATAACATTAGTGAAAAACAATAAGACAAAGAAGGCACTTAGTTTGAACGTCAAACAATGAAAATATAAGTAGCTCTTTATAGACTTAGCATTTCTCCTAAATATAATAATTGAAATACGAAAGGTTTCTTACTCATGTCCAGACTTCGGTGGTAAAGGTGGTCTCAATTCAGCTGGTTTTACGGCAGCCCTTTCAGCTTGAATCACCTCCCCACTTGTTTTTGGGCTAGGTACCTACAAAAAAACAATACACAGCTTACATTTAGAAAAATAACATTTAATAAGTTCTCGACGAACCCACTATAACAAACGCATACTACTCACAATCTAACACCTCTTAAATCTCTGAAAAGCAAAGATGCAGTTGGAACGGCCCGTGTGTGCCCGTGGCCCATTCGGCGGACATATCTAGTACTTACAGGCGCCAAAAATATAGGGACACGGCGCCGCCATGTTTTTTATTTTATTGGAAAAGACGAAATATTGGATATTTCAATATTTCGTCTGAACGCCCTGAACGAAGAAATGTGAAGGATAGAAACTTAAGCCTTGGTGATAAATTAGGTATGCCAAGAAATTCAAGATAATCCATACATTCCGCAAAGTAGGAGCCCACGCATAACAGTTCTGAGTGGCGGAAATTAGAAAGGTTTGAATGTTGCTGGCGTTGAACTGGAGCGTGGAACCAAGTTGGCGTCACCATAGTTGAAAATTATCTTAAGATAATTTTCCTTCTCCGAAATTATCTTAAAGACTGAATTTATGTGTTCAGTTCCTCGCTCTCTCGTCTCACTTACGTAACTTCTCAATAAGTATGCTGTTTGCATACCAGAATTTAAAAGGCCATTGATATCCAGAAAAGAATGAAAAGTGTTGTTGGAAATGTTGACCCTAAGGAACACCAGCGTTAATACCGGATTGATCAGAATAGCTTTTCTGTTCTGTTGTATCGATGAATAAATGACACATTGTCCGAAGCGTGAAGTCCACAGACCATCCCAAAACTTGTCAATAAGGTTTTCATGCCAGACACTTTCGAGAACCTTCGGAATGTCCCCGTGCTCTTTAATGGTTCCAAATGAATTGGCGTATCTATTTATAAGTTCCCTAGCGAATCGGTTAAGTTACGAAGAAACCAATACTTATTGTCGGAAGCGTGTTTCTATCTAACTTCGCCAGATACTCGTATAATTTAGGAAGGTAAGGAGTTAACTGCCACCAGCATTAACACACAAGGACTTGATAGATATGTTGGAAAGACAGATAAGAAGCAAACACATTTGCTTTCTCTATTGTGGAGTGGGCCAACGTCCTGTCAGACTTCAGTAGCTGTGGTAATGAGGGGCGACAGAAGTTTGATCAAATCGCTTTGGCTCCTTTGCCAAGGACCAAAACGCTTTCGGTAACTAATATTCGCTGAGTAACAAAAAGTTTGTTCCGTATTCTGCCACGTGGTTATATCAAGCCTTCCGTAGACCCCTTTTTCATAACTGGGCAGACTGTAATGACGAGTGTTGCCAACCATACAACTATCTTCAGCGCTTCAGCGCGTTCGCAGTCAGCCATTCAACGTTTCAGAATAGGATATAATGTTCCATTTTCCGAAAATACCAATATAATTATATAAATGCGCACTGCTGAGCAAAGGTATCTTGCCACAGGAATACAAATTTAGCATTACCGGAGATCAAGTCAAAACAACCTAACGCGCAAAAAATGGGCGACGCACTTGTAACTTATGCTAGTGAGTAGACACAAATTTATCAGACAGTGGTCATAGCTACCTAAAGGGTAACGAGATTGACATCGAATAGCGGTCTAGTTCGGCTGTAAATAAATAGTAGGCCTAAACAGTTCGCCGAGTACTTAACAACATAAGGTGTTTCTTGTGTCTCCATGTTCCAGCTGGGCCAGATTAAGCGCTAGTGCAAGTTTCCACACTATTCCTATATAATTTGTTCTATAGGAATTGAACCCCTAGTCACTTACGCTTAAGATCGATTTATCCGACGCTGTGTGCTTAACAACTGGTACAGGCGTGGGCAGATATATGTCGCCCGGCATCAGATCATAGTACCGAACCCGTTTCTTATACTTCTCGCCTTTTCTATGCCCCTTACGCAAAATTCCACTGGATTCCTCTACTTCATCTTCTTCCGATGTCGATACAAAATCGTATTTTGAATAGGTGAGCCTGTTAAAAGTAAATAGGTAGGTAAGTAATTTATAAAGTGTAGGTATCTACCTACGCTACAAATATACGGTATTTATTTACTTCTATACTTTCAAAAGTAATTAAATATAGGCGTGTCATATTATAAAATTTTCTTTTCTCCTGTAGCTAACTATTCGCGAGATTTTCGTACAGCTAGGAGTATCTACCTACCTATTAGGTTATTAGGTTTCGACACTCGAGGCACCAGTGCCTGACTAGGTAGCAAGTATTATACCTACCTATCTAGGCTACCTACCTACATGACTGAAGTTTGTAATAGCTCCAATCCATTTTATAAGAATCAGATTGATATTGTAAGGTATTAACTTACCTAGCTTTCTCATCGCCTCGAGGCGGTTCCAGAGCACAATGGCCGATATATCTAAGCCTGAAACGTTAATCAATAAGTCTATATTTGTTTACTGTTATGGCCTACAGAATCCATAATAATTTATTTAATCATTCATTCATTAATCATCTAAGTATGCTTCTGATTATATCAAGGAAAATAGATACAATCAAGACTACTATGTACTACAGAATCAGATATAGATAGAGTAGGTAGTAAATTTAAAAGTGTAATAAAGGCTAAACTTTGCTGTAAAGCATTTTATAAAATAAAAGACTACTTAGAGGATAGTCAGGCATGGGAATGAGCCGCTGTAATGTCTGCACAGGTCATGTTGACATGTTTGTAACATAAGTTACAATTTTATATACAATTTGACATTACGTTTATTTTTTATTTTTTATACAATGATATAATCACCTATTGTGACATTTTATTTTTTATTTGACATTTTTTTTTATTTATTTATTGACATTTTTATTATTTTATATTATTGTTAGTGTAAGGACCGTGTGAGACTTGCCGTGCTTTTTGATTACCAGTTATCTGCGTTCTGACAGTTTGAGTACTTGCGCGACCCACCCAAATGTTCTTTAGATCGGTATTGTTCGTCGGACAACTCAGCAGCACTAGCTATACTGGTTGCAAACTGACACTTGCGTGCCTGTCTTCAGAACGGGTCCACTTAAACTGGTGTGGTTCTTTCCTCAAAAGACCACTACAGAATGAACTTGCACGATTCTCTCACATTATGTTATTTTTACATTGTCTGGACTTGAAAAGAGACTGACCTCTGAGTTTGTTTCGGCATTTCTTCTCAGAGTAGTCAGATAGGAAATGCCGGCTTCATCTAGTTTTTCACATATAAATTGACGTGTAAAAGTGCCGTTTTATGGCCTATTTGCAAAAATAAATTCATTGTTTCATTGTTTCATAGGTATATTTCTATCTAGTATTACTTTTTAAATAATAGGTCTTTACGTATGAAATTGCCGTTTTGCAAGAAAAAATTTAAACGAATTTTTTTGATTTGAAATGCGATGATTATGTAACACTAATCAATAAACAAATGACTACTTTTGGAAAAAGAATCCCATGTTTTTGTTTTAAAAACTAATTAGCCTTAGCCTAACAAAAACTATTTTGATTTGAAATGCGGCAATTTCATAGGTATTAAAATATTTTGTAATGATGTTGGAATATCAACCGAGTGTGCATTGAAGGCTTCATCGGCACGCATGTGTCCTTAAAGTGCGGCGGTTTAAATTGCTTAGTTTTGAATTTTGGTGGCTTTGATAGTCTCCGATTCTTAGCATCTGAAATTTATTAAGTAAATGTCATGTGAATTAACATGGTAGGTAACGTTATAAGATTGCAGCTTCTGTAGAAGTTAAGTTCCATCGGCCTTATTACAAAACAAAGCTTTTTTTAATCTAGGTCTAAATCATTAAGTTTTTCTAAGTATTTTTTTTATTGGATAAGTCGGCAAACACGGATTAGGGACCTGATGCTAAGTATGTAGGTAATCGGCGCCGCCCATGGACGCCCGCAACACCAAAGGAGTTAGGTACGAGTGCATTGCCTGCCTTTTGGGGATAAGGGTTGCAGATATTTAAGGATTGGGAAGGGATAGGAGAGGGGGAGGGATTGGGCTTCCGGTAACCTCACCTACACGGCAAAACTACTTACTTATTGTATTTAATACCTACTGTAGGTAATTGAGACAATTTTTATTGATTCAAAATAGCTGACTCATTTGTGAGCCTTGAACCTAGATTATGTATAGATAAATCTTGTTTTGTAATAAGGGGCATAGGATAAAGGTTGTATTAGTTTGTTTATAAAATGAATAATTCAGAACTTACGGTCAACGTAGTCTTGATAATTAAGTGCTTGAATAATATCGACGACATCTTGCGGGTCTGATACCACTTTTGAATGTTTATAAGACTTGTGAATTTTAACTGGACATTTGCAAATCCTACAAGTAAACAAAATATATATTTTTAGAAGTATTTAAACACATTCTAGTTAAAGGCTGCACTTAAAATGTACTATTTCACATACGTACCTCTTTTGTTTACTCATTTCTGGATTTTTTAATTATTATTATCTTTTTTTGGGAAATTTAACTTGTATATTACTACAGATCCAAATAATTTATGTTGACATGTCTGAAGTGACATATCATTGCGATATTTTATTATTTTTTGAAAAATAAATCAAGTAGGTTTGCCACAGAATTGAGTGAAGTTTCATTGAGTGCAAGACGGAATAGAAATAGTTGTGTGAGTAGAATCTTCATATATGTGGTTGCAATATAGTAATGATATATAATTAGTTAGCTTTCTACTTATTAGAAAACATTTACTTAGTTATTTAATTGAAATACCACTTAATTTAAATTTCTTTTGTTCATTTGGCTCACCAACAACTGTTTCAAGACAAAGTTACATAATCAATTAATCACCATCAATCTTTTATTAGGCAAAGTTGGTAAAGAAAAAAAATATCTTAGGAAAATTCATTATGTCGTCTTAGTGGTAGTTAGCCCAAGCATGCCTGATCATTCACCGTGACGATGCCATGACGAACCGAAACATGAGAGAAAAGATGCCCAAATGAGCTTATTATTTCAAAGGGCACCAGTATTTATTTCTCACACAATCTATAAATGTTTTAGACCCAGCACACCCACACAATTGTTCTGACAATGGACTATCTATCTCAATATGTATAGATAAATAGCCTGAGCCTCCCAACTATCCCCAATATTACAAAACAAGATTTTGACGTTCAAAAGTGCCTGTATGGGTAATGATTTTGACTTTTGTTTTTTTTTACTTTTTATAGGTATAGTCTACCAGACAGTCTTTCTTTTACCTACCTGCAATTTCATATAGACTACAGAAAAACCCTGTTTTGTAATAAGGCTGTATATCTCGGTTTAAGTTCATTTAATAGATAACTTTAACTTGCCATATATGAATTTGAAAACAAACGGATTTTACATACAATGTATATTTAAAAAGTAAACTTCATAAGATAACACTTTAAAGTCAGTATCAAGTACACTCCAATTAGAAATCATTTGAACTTTCGTCTTTATTACAACAACAATAAGATTGTTTTTCCAATAGATCACAATAAACAGATACAATTCTGGAATGTTCAATAATAGGTAACTATTTAAACAGTGCCAAGTGTGTTTACTTTAACAAAATTAATTAATAAATTACCGATTAACATATTTATAACACCACCACAATATTATTATCTACAATTAAAACTAAATATTTCAAATGAATAATAACAATTGCTGAATAATCAAATTAACTAAACATTGAATTATGGAGTGTCTCTATATCATCCTTCCTTTGTTCTTTTCGTTTCTTGTCTTTCTTAAATGCTTCATATTCCTTATCATCAGTTGGTAACTCATGTCTGCAGAATGGACATGAGTTCGTCTGAAACAGAAAGGAAGATAAGAATAAAATTCAATCTCCAAATGTCTTTTACAATCTGTTTTGGCATAAAGTAATTACTTTCATAAAACACTTCACAATTTTTTTATTATATTAGGAGGAGAAATTAGTGAATTTGATGACAGATAACAAAAAACTGCAAACTTTTAAATAAAAAACCTGTTTGAATTGTATTTAAATTAATTATTTAGAAACATAATTCATTAATTTAATTATATAAGCAGTTTTTATAATTTGATACCACAATAACAAATGACTATTACAGTCTTTCTATTTACTAATTTAGTTAAAAGCTAAAAAGTTAATTACCTTTTCAAGCCAAGTCAAAATACATTTAGCATGGAATTCGTGATGGCAAGGCATTTGCTTTGCTTTCTCTCCAACATTGAAGTTCTTCAAACAAATAGGACAGTTCTTATCACTACTCTCTATTGTAGTCTCTGGTATATTAGACACTGCGTCTTTTGAAGCAGGTGGAGGAAGCCTAGAAAAGAATTCATAATATTTTATTTTTTAATTCTTTCCTTTTATGAAGGAAGTCTGGGCAACATTATGATCAATTTATTTTACCTTGGCCACTCTCCAATGATATCTTCATTATAAAATCCAAAATCTATAAGGAATCTTGCCATGTCTAATAAATGGTTTGGTTGTTGTCCGTCTTGCAGCTCCGCCCAACCCATTTCTTCAAAATAACCAGCCATAATCTCCTGAAAAATTAAATAGTAACAAGAAATAGAGTTAACTTTTTACTTGATCATTAGTCAAATTTGTTGTTGACAAATCAAACAAAATTTAAGTAATCATACTCAATACTCAATTGCTTATTGCCTTCCAAATATATTACAAAGATGTTATAACAAAAGTAAGTGTAATAATATGGACCCCATTGTGCACAGATAAATTAGGAGAGGTAAAGTAAATTCAAGTAATAACATAATTTAGTATTTGGTGAAAAACATGATTGCTCTTGCGTCGCAGTAAATTTATATTAATGTCTATTTCATTTTCCTGTAGCTCAATAAATCATTACCTAGAAAAATAAGGACTCCTGAATTAATATGATCAGAATATTGTAAGTTCATAGAACTATATCATTTTTATATTTTTTTAAATCGGGTCCTTACTTTGATTCGGTCATAAATTATTAACAAAATGATGATGAAGCAAGCCTCAAACTAATTATTATTTGCAAAATCATAATTCAAGTTGTTATGATGAAACAATTTCAAAAATCTTACCTGAGTTGGTTCCTTATAAATGAAGTATACAATCAAATTGAATTATGTTAATTTGCAATCAATAGCTATAAACTACAACAAAATTTTGAAGCAATTAACTGAAAACTATTCAATTTAATGAATTTTGTAAATAAAACAAAATTCACATTAAATGACAATGCATATTTGACATAGTTCAAATAGACAGTTGACAGCTGAACGTGAAACAAAGCGTTTTGACAAAAGTGTTGGCTGCCTTATTAAGATTTCCAAGAAATATTTTTTATAATAATTAACAAGTTGCGATTGATAACAACAGACACCACTGTGTTTACAATTATTGCCGAGTCTACATCGCATATGTCGACAATCTCATGAGCTATATCCAGACAACTTACTTCAGCTTTAACAAGATTCTCACCATGTGAAATGAGTTACGATTAGGTACTATTATATTCATAGACATCAGAATTCAGCTGACATTAATTTATCAATAGATTAAGTACAGTAACAAGCAGAACGCTTGTCACATTTTAGGTATATTTCTAAAGTACTTACTACCATATTTTATATTGAGGTACGGTACCCGGTTGTCGTTGTCCTTGGAGTGATCCGAAAGGACTCGATTGTCGTGCTGACACACTGGGCCTAGTTTAGTAGTTTACGCATGGCAGACGTAGATACCTACCTACGGCAAGTCAGAAGAGCATTCAATATGAATTTACTTAATAATTAAGATAGGGAGACAATTAGATAAGAAAGCATATATTTTACAATTTACAGCTACCTACTAGGTATTATCTTAATTAGTAAGCCCAAAAAATAAGTAAAAGGAAATTCGTGAGAAATACCTAATGAAACATTTTTTTTCTTGGAATTGATAAATAATATAATAATTAACCAGATAGATATAAAGAATTATTATCTTTTTCTGAAATTTTGGACGTTATCTTAGCTTCTTTCGATAATATAAGTATCTAATTTACAATATAATTATATAGTAGGTAGGTAAGTACCTACCTCCATACGTACCTATGTGGGAAACTTACTTTTGGCTAAATTTTTCATTTTGATTTTACCATTTAATGTACGGTACCTTACAAAGGTAATGAACAGGCTACCTAAGTACCTACTTACTTGTTAACTCATTGATTCGTTTAGGTATACCTACCTGTAGTTTTCTCATTAAAATATCGCAAACATCTAATACTTAGGTAATTGCGGTTGCAGATTTCTCTTATCTAGGTACAATATTTTATAAGCAATGTGCAGAAGGAGAATGGCCTTCTTGCTTACAACATTTTATTGCATATTGTAGGTGTATAATAAACTTATTGTTCTGCACATGACGCAATGTATGATAACATCTCGCCTTTTTTTCCCCGAAAGCATGGATAAGTAAAGGTGCTTAAATACCAAAGTAGTTAGAAAATAGGGCATCCAGATCAGAGATCTGGATACCCTATTTTCCACATTTTAATCTTCTACTAACATATTATTTTAATCTGTTTCTTGATCATAATATTCAGCGGTTAAATTAAATGTTATTGTGAAAACTTCATTTAAACTCAAACAAAAAACCAGACCAGAACTAATATCAACTTGTCTGTGTGGGAATTGAACCCACGACACTTCGTCTTTGTGGTTGAAGAACGTGTTATAATATTGCACTCAGTTGTGACCAGGGTCTTAACCATTAAGCCAAACGTGTCGTCGAATATGTAACAAAATAGCGAACCGCTTCATGCACTTTGTTTACATTAATGAGACGTATATTGTGTGACATCATTCATTCGATGCGCTTCCATATATGCAAGATTTCTCACTAACACAATTCTTGATGATGTTTTGCCACTTATTGACATATTCCCCCCCTTTCACCGCGTTCAAATAAAAACACTGTGGAAAATTTATAGCATGCTGCATCCAAGGATCATCATAAATTTCCCAATCTTCTATAACGCCTCCACATGAAAAACATGCTGCTTTATCATATGGATTATTTCCGTAATAAAAGAATCCAGCATCAGCCATTTCCATCACTAATCTTTTCTTTGAATTATTCGTCCCCCAGTAATAATTAAAGGATAATTCACGTATTTTGTATGCATTATACATATCATATCGAGGTTTATATTCAGTTTGAAACATATTTTATTTATTTGGTACTAGTTCTTGATGCTAATAATTATAAACATAAAATGACATTGCTTTAATGCTGCAAGCAATTTATAAACGTGATTGTACAGGATTGGGAGAGATAGTAAACATATTATAAAAAATTAAACAAGTTTTTTTTTTATTTCATAAAAATTTTATTATCATGGCACCATTTATTTAAACACAATATATTTTTTAAAGCACATACAGAGTTATGATAAATACAATTATACATATCTTGCGAATGTTTATATTGATCATATAAATGTACTAAACTAGAACAACCCTTATCTTCTAAATTAAATATATTACTATTACTATTTTCTAAAATATGCTTTAACCATAAAACTTTTTCTGAACCTTTAACATAAACACATTTATCTCTTAATATATCGGAAACCAAAGTCTGGTAATTGGAATAAGGTACAAATCCTTCACTCCAGTATATCTTTTTGTTACGTTGAATCCAAAGAACTACCTTCTTTTCAGATTCCGTTAAATTTTTAAATGGAAATGGTGGCTTAACTAAAAACACTTGTAGTTTTTTGTTACACAATATAGCGATTTCTTTTAATATAAATTCACCTGCTTCTGTTCTAAATCCTTGAATATCAACAACAGCAATCATGATAATCTGCGCACAATGTTGCTGAGAGGTTTGTATTCCACAAGTCGATCGTTTATAATCAAACAATACGCAGTTGTCTTATCTGGTATTGGTGTGGAACATTCAACTTCTAACCGCACGTCCACTGGACCGGTTTTTAAACTATCGTTTTGTCTTGAGCAATCTAAGATGAAAAGGGGAGCCTTTTCTTTAAAATCTGTTAGATCTAGCAATGGGTCAACAGGACTGTTGTAATACGACTGACGAAATTTCACATACATTTCATATAATATACTGTACTTGTTCTCAGAAAACTTTAAACTCAAAGGTTCGTAGGGATAATATTGCGAATTCAAAAAGAGTGTTACGTTGGTCACTTCACAATGATCGAATAGTGAACTGTCTTTAGTCCTATTATTTCTCCTATTAGTTTGCAAGCAAAATATAACATATCTAGGCTTTTCCAATTGTGAAGCTGTTTTAACTGACCAAGAATGCTTTGTAGTTTTAGGTAGCAAGGGATACTCATATAAATCCCAATTTCTAAAAGCCATCTGAATAGGTTTATCTCTTTCTAAATGTTTTAAAAGTGTTAGTCGTTCTCGATCTGACACTTTTATATGTGGCACCCTCCATTGGACTCTTTGTATATCTATTTGAAAATTAACAACATCATCAGTGAGAATAACACTATTTAAGTTAGAGTTGCTTCTACTCAAAATAAGTTCGTGTTTACAATTTATCACAATTTTATTGTAATCTTCTGCAAACCCTAAAATCTTATTCAATGGTATCACAGCACTAAAATGTCCATCATTTTGGAATCCCGCTAAGTTCCAACCCCATAAGGCTGCAACTTTATTTTCTGCTTCATTTAATGAAATGTATGCTTTTATTGTTGACGTAATTCCTGAATTTTTAATACGGTCTATTTCGATACCATTCATTTCGTATCTGATGTCTTGAAACAAAGACATAACAGGGTTATTAGTGAACGTAACAGTTTTCTTGATCGGATTCCCATCTTTACCGAACAGCCTTGCCTGTCCTTCGATGTAAATTGAACTGGCTGATGGTAGCACGTATATATCTTGCTGATGTATGGGGATTCTGATTTCATCGTTTTCTCTAAAGCTGTTATTGTAGGGATTGTACGAATGGATTTCATAACTTTCAATCGAACTGTCGAAATGCGGTAATTCAGTAATCTGTAGCATATTCATACTTTAAAACCCAGAGCTTTAAGAAAATCTTTATTTGCTTTAGTCAGTTTCTTAATTTTTGTATTACGTCTTTGCGCCTTAGCGGTTGCAGAAGAAATAAACCGATTTATTTTTACTGGAGTGCTTTTATAATATACTATCATTTTGTTTTTCTTAAGTGCAGACGTAACTGAATATATTCTTCTTCGAAGTTAATACAGTGACCAAATTGATCAACAATTTTAACAGATATGGATGAAATTATATTTTTGTTCACTGGAAAGTAAATAACGTTTTGTGGTATTTCTTTATAACCATGACTTAGAGCAGTATCTGATACAAATTCATGAATAAAATGTGTTGGTAATCCATTGCAGTATGAACCGTACACAAGATCACATTCAATTTTGATCACAGACAGATTACTAGTTTTAACTGAAATATCTGGTCTTGAATTAAATACTGAAAAGTATAGTAAACCGCACTCGTATTGATCAGATAAATGAAGAGGTGGTTGAAAATACGAGACCAGTTCTGATTTATTTCCAGAGATGGTAACCGTAGTAGACATGCTTATATACTGGACTGTTATGAAAGATCCTGTTCATTTTATTGCTTCGTTGACCAAAAATTGTTTAAGAAGTGTAAACAAAGATGTCCACAGTTGAAGGGGTGATCACGTTGTATATTTTCATAATTATATTGAATGTTAGAACCTACATATTTTACAAATTCCTTTGGTGGCTTAAGATTCCCGTAACTGTCGAAATACTCAACATAATCATTATATTTTGCATAGGCTACCCAATGAGAACCAGGATTTTTAGAACTATCTAAATTAATAACTCCACATTCTTTTTTATACGGATATTTAGGGAGCTCATCTCTCATAAAGACACCTCTAAAATAAGGAATTCTATTTCCATACTTTAAAATGTCAAAGTTAGTTAAGGCCCGTTTGGGTAGCCGATATCTTAGTTTTTTTCTTTTAATACGAAAATTCCAAGACCACTTTTATGTGGTTTAAGGTGTAGTCCTTTCCCAATACATAGAGCTTCCATTTTTTCATTATGTCTCCTCGATTCCTCATACAGCTTTTTAGCCATTTTAAATTCATTTATGGTTTTAGCAATACCAGCTGCACCGCCTGCTAAAGCTCCCGCCGCTGATAACCCCGCAAAAATAGGAATCAGAGGTAGTACTCCCCCAGTTTTTGGAATAGGAAT